CCAACATGGATGTACTGTTGACTAACTGGTCAGTTCCCATCTACAATTTCCCACTGTCCAGCAATGCTCTGCTTTCTCTAAGTTTACATTTTGATTTCTGAGTAGAACAGTGAAACAAATGGCTGATTCATCATTACTCTAAAAAGGAAGGGTTAGAATGAATAAACCTATTGTTGGAGAGCACCATCTATTTGCCAAATTCTCCTCACAGCAATTAGCATGACTACATCTAATTGGGAAAAGATTCAGGGAGATCGCTAAGGACTTGTGTTCCTTGATGAGTTTTACTGCTGTAGTCTGAATTATACCTTTTTTTTTACATCTGTATTTACAAGGTTAAAAGTTTGTTATTTTTGTTATTTTTCTTATTAGATGTTAACAAGCTGGAGTATTATCTTTGTTGTAGCTACCAGGTTTAATTTTGAAGAACATTTATAAGAGCAGTAGAGTAAATTATATGTTGAAAACAATATAATGGTCTGGATGACAGCAAGAACAAAAAAAGCATAAGCCATATATCAGACCTTTGGTTCTCTATGCAGCATAACGATCCAGCCACATAATAATGCCATGACTGCTTTAACTGACTTTTGAAAAACAACCCATGAATTAAAAAGCAAGCTTCAGAGTGATTTGGGCAGCTCACCTGTACCAGTGAACTGCAGTGAAAGAAAGATGGTTGGTGTGTGATGAGGTCAGTGCAGCTCCTCACCAGGAGCCATCAGCAGCCACACAGCTGCAAGTCTCAGCTTGCTCAGCAAGAGCTGAAAAATTCTTCAGGTTCTGATGGCGTTTGTCCCTTCCTTCAGGGCATTCCTCATCTCATACTTTGTGGCCATGCTGTGCACGGTTGTCAGGAGCTGGGAAACGCTCGCACTGCAAAAGCACAAGAAAGGAGATAGGTGAAGGTGCTGCAGAAGAGCTTCCTTCCAGCTGGCTTCCAGATGTTCCTCTGTCAAAACAGGTCCCAGCTTACCAGTCTGCAGGCAGCTAGAGACATCCTCATGGTGACCTTAGCAAGGGACAGAGGCCTGGCTGCCCTTCCCCCTGGGTGTGGGTGTCGCTCCAGGGCTCTCATCCCCATGGCACAGGAGGAGCTCCTCGGGAGAGGGCTGAGCAGCCCCTGGCCCACCTGCTCTGAGCCAGGGGTTCTCCCTGCCGAGGCATTCTGCATCTTTGCTCCCAGCCTGGCCGGGGCTCTGCGTCAGGGCACAGCACATCTGACTGCCCTGCAGGACTCAGCTCAAGTGCTGGGCACAGGGCTTGCAAAAGGAGAACAAACTTAAAAGGAGGGCAAAACTGATGTTTCTATTAACTGCAGAGAGGCCTTGCACTTCGAGGATGTGACAGGCCCACACTGAGTATGAAGATGACTGTAATACCTCTGCTGTTTGCTTTGTGTGTTTGCACTGCAAGCTCTTTGGCCCAAGGACTGTGCCTCATCATGTATTTACACAGATCCAGCTCAGCGGGTCACTGGTCTCAGTAGGGGCCTCCAATCTCAAGTGATAATAATGAACTGGCTTTCTTCTAAGTGTTATTTACCCAAACAATGCTGTATTTCATTGTGAAGCATTGTTTTTATTAATTTTTTCTTCCAGTTCACATGATATAAAAACATTGTCCACCCAAACACTGAGGAACAATATGAGTGCTTATCTCCTGCTGGGAAATAAAAATTAAATTTTTTCAAGTATCAGTCCTTCCTGCCCCCTTTAGTCACTTTGAGGACTTGTGTCTGATGATAAAATGCTTTAAATCCATTTTAAACCTTGTCTGGACTGGCATTCCTTGTCTGGATCTTAGCAACATAACAAAGCTTGCTTTGAAAGTCTCTTCAAGAGGCAACCCCCAGTTCATGTAGTTGAAACCTATGTGAGGAAGCCCAGTTTATTTGTATAACAGCTGCTTGAATTGCAGAATCTAGCCTAACATCTTTCAAAACATGATTGAACTTTATATCTGCAGAAATCTCTGGAAAGAGTGCAAACCAAGTATATTTTAACTAAGAGATGCATTTTATTTAAGGAAAAAAATCACAAAAGGCAATCCAGAATATCTACTGAACTTATTTTATTGGAAGCAAAGATTCATTTTTATGCACTTTTATGCTTTCTTTTGTTTTTTTTGTGAAATGTATGTATACATTTTTCTTCTCTGCTGAACTGCATTGTAAGAAGTTGATTGTGCTTGTAGCTATGTACTAGATCTATCTTTGGTAGGGTGTGATGCTGGGTAAGGCATTTTGGGTCTTATCTGATTGTTTTGCAAAGCATGCACATTTGCTCTCAACTCAAACTACATGATGAAAATGAATGCTTCTACTTTGGTAATGAGGATCAGCAATGATGCCTTCAGCATGAAACTGCCCGGTGTAGCCAAGGCATAATTTTATTACCCCAGATGAAAGAAAAATATGACCTCATTGTGTTTTGTATGAAAAACATTATTTTGAGCCTGTCTGGTTCCTGCATGCTTGCTGAGCTGTGTTACTCAGTAATGTTTGGCACATGGCAGCTTTTTCCAAGCGAGGCTGGTGTACAGAAAGAAAGAAAGAAAGAAAATAAGGCCAGGTTGGAGCTGCTATCTATTTCCATGGTTTTATTCCTGCCCTTTGTTAGACAGCTGCAGTCTGCTCCAGAATGACTCCTGTTGTTTTGTGAGCACATCCCAGCTACAGTGTTAGTCCCAGAGTGCTAAGAGAGGTAAGTTGTGTTTAGAGGTGGGAAAGGTCTGGCCTTTCCTTCTTTGATCTGAGATAAGAGGTGTTAGTCCTTACATGAATTGTCTTAATGAGAGCAGACACGCCAGTCCTGAGGGCAGAGCATGTCCTTAGGCAGATGTGCACAGCTGTGTGTGCAGCCCCACACACACCCTCTGTGTGGAGGTTGCCTGGGCACAAACCACTCCAGAGAAGCTCTCAGATTTAGGGGGAAAGTTTTTAAATTAAAACTTCAGTCTTCTGATGATTCCATAAAGAACACTTTTTTTCAAGGCTGATGCTTTATTCTGGCATTATAGAATTGAATTGCTATGTTTGCTTCCTCAGTCTGGGAATCGTTGTGGTGTTTTCTATTTTATTCTTCCTGGAAACATTTGCAATGAAATATGAAAGCTCATTTTTCATCTACTATTAGTGTTTTCCAAGTAAAAAAAAAAAATAAGACTGAAATTACTAGATGATGAGAAAGGCAAACACCCCTACAAACACACTTTCTTTTTCTCCACTTTTCTGTTTCCTTGTTTACTGTAAAAAAATGGCATGAAAAGTGTGTTTTCTTATACTCTGTTGAGCTTCACTGAAAAGGAGGGATAAAGGAAGAAATAAAAACAGTTTTAAAAAATAATTTTATGAAATGCAAAATGTAAGATCCATTTTCATTCAGCAGTGGTTAGTTTTCCATAATACTTTCAGAAATGCCTGTATGTTTTTATCATCTGTTCTTTAAGTTGCCATTTACGTCCAGTTAAAATTTTCTAAGTAGCTCTACTTGAGTCAGTTGAGTAAGGAGCCACTAAAAGAATTTAAAAAATAAAAAGTGTATGGACTTAATGAGCAACAAAGTTAGTGATCTGTAGCAATTACCCAAGTGAGTAATTTTGTTTCATTAATGCACCCTAAAGCACCAAGCTGTTTTGTCAATGGGCGCTGCAGGGCCATTGCCAGGCTCAAAGAGACAGTTTTGTTACCAACCATGGTATAAGCGATAGGTTTTACCAACAAGGAGGAGAGAAAGTAGCTTAGTGTCAAAAGAAAATTAAAGTCCATCTATTATTGTCATGGAATCCAATGGCAATGCTTGTAAAGGTTCTAGCAGAGCAGGGTCACCCATCAGTTTGTTCTGGATTTTCCTTTTTTGCTTCTTTCCCTGGCTTTTCCACTTTCTTGAATACTGTGGTTTTTTTAAGAGGGCATCTTGATGCACTGAGCAACTTGGTTTGGAAAGGGAAGGAAAGCGTATTCCTGGCTTAGTTTAATCCTTCTTGGAAGAAAATAGAAAAGCAAATAGAACAGAGGCAAAACTGTATTATACCTTGTAGGTGCCTCTGGATCACTCAATATGGGACACACACAGTGTATGATATATTAAGGTGAAGTATTGAATATCCATAAAGGCGTACTAGCAAATGGTGTCAATTTTCAAACACTTTGCTTTGTCAGCTTCACAAATTTAAAATCAATCATCAAAAGTCCCTGTATAGATCAGCTGAAGAGACATATAACCTTATGGTTATCTCCCTGATGAAAAAGTTGAAATTAAAGATGAGTTTATAAAGACTCAGATTGTAAGAATTCTGTAGTGCTAAAAGCTGGGGTCATCTGACCTCTTAGATTAGAAACAAGTGATGAGGAGAAACAATGACACACAGTGCACTGTTAATAAATACATGTTGGAGGACAGTTGAACACACAGAAAAGAGATTTCACAGAGAAGCTTATTTTCAGCATGAATGCTATTTTCTCACTGCATTATCATAAATATGAGAGAGAAAAAAGCTATAAATAAAAAATTTTCAGGCACTCCCTGGAGACTTGTCAAAAGGACGTAGTTTTTGTACACTGCAGTGTAAAAGTATTCATTAAAATTAATTTTTAAAATGTCCTGTCCAATATTAGTTGCCTGATGTCCTTCCTTTGATCATAAATTATACATGAACTGGCAAAAAATGAAGAAACCATGATTCCATTAATGAATTATTTAAGTGTGATTGTTAGTTTTTGCAATCATTGGCCTAATAAGCTCAAGCTTGTGACAATGAAGTGTTTCTTACTGGAGGGTGATGATGATGGTAATGCTATTAACATAATCAATGTGTCCCATGAGTCATGAACCCACCCAGCTCCTCTGGTGGCTCCACGGTGGCACAGCCCCTGGAGCTCTTTGGGTCTGCCTGCAGGAGAGGGAGGTGAGGCTGAGTTCATTTGGGGTGAATGGGGTTCACTGGGCAGCACTTGCAAAAGGCCAGCAGCACACTAAGAGAGGATCTTGTCCCCACAGCAGCCTGCCAGTGCCAGTGGCACACGCCGCTGGCTTGGCCCATTCCAGCGGCGGCTCCGGCAGCTCCAGCGAGTCCGAGAGCAGCTCCGAGTCCGACTCCGACAGCGAGAGCAGCTCCAGCGACAGCGAGTGCAACGAGGAGTCACGCAGTGCCACGCCAGAGGTGAGGCCGCCCTCGGCTCTCCCCGGAGGGGAAGTGTGGAGGGGAGCACAGCCCCGCTCCCTGCTAGGGGGATGTTGGAGTTCTGTGCTGTTTGATGCTGTTGACTTCTTTTCTCTTTGCTGTTTCACGTGTATGACCCACATACTCATTCTAGCTTTTGGAAGAATCTTTCTGGCCTACATTTGAGTTGCTTTAAAGAAATATTTAGATTTTTGCCAGTAGCTAGAGAAGATTTTATTGACACAGTATTCAGCTGGGACTAAGGAAAGGCAACATGACAAAACTATCTCTTCAGGGACTAGCTAAACTTTTTAGTTGTATTAAATTTCTCCAGGGCTACGTTGTAAACCAGATAAGGAAGTCTAATTAACCATAAATACTCCATAAATACTCCTATAAAACTAGCAGTCACCACTAGTTGACTGAAATAAAAGGGTACATTAAAAAAGTTCTCTTTTAAAGGAAAAAGCACTGCTTCTGTCTGAGATTTGTTTCTTGTCATCCTTCAATCTGCAGCCCGAACCCCCCTCAACAAACAAATGGCAGCTGGATAAATGGCTAAATAAGGTGAACCCCCACAACAAGACCATCATCAACAATCAGAATGAGCCTCACAGTGAGAGCAGCTCCCAGGCCCAGAGCAACCAGCAGGCCGAAGGGCCAAACAAAGGGAAGCTCAACAGCAGCCTGCCCCCGACCGATTCCAAAGACCGGGCGATCCTTAGTCCCATCCGAGAGAAAGCCAAACCACGGGTTGCCCAGAAAACCCCAGAGGCAAAAAGCTCCAAGCAGAAGTCACCAGCTCATAATGAGCCAACTTCACAAAGGACTACTGGGAAAAAGCAACCCAAAAAGGTAGAAAGGACTTCCAGTGTAGAAGAGTATAACTGGCCCAAACCAAATAATACCAGCAACACTCCCAAAGAAAAAGACACACAGGAACCCCCCGAGCAGCCAAAGGTTCGAACTAAAGCAGCAGTTGGGAAGACAGCTCCAAGGAAAGAACCACGAACTAGCACAGGTCTCACTTCAGAGAAGAAAAAGTACAGAGGCCCCAGCAAAATTGTCCCAAAGTCACGGGAGTTCATTGAAACTGATTCATCTACTTCTGATTCAAACACAGACCAGGAGGAGAGCTTGCAGGCAAAGGTGCTGCCAGCCTGCACTGGGTCTGGCAGTGGTGTCAAAGTGAAGGACTCTGGCAGTAACATCCTCAGCGTAAGTAGCTTAACCAGCAATAGCAGCAACACATCCATTGACCAGACCAGCAACGACCTGGAGGAGCAGCTCTTTTCTCCTATCCCAATCGTACAAAATGAACTTCTGTCCCCACTGAGAGAATATGAAGAACTCAAATCTCTGTGGGTGAAAATAGACCTTAGTTTACTCTCTAGGATACCTGGACAGGAAACTTTTGAGACCACGTCTGTGAAAAGTGAACCAAGAGAGGCAAATGTGAAACACAGGCGACCATCTCGAGAGTCCCCTACCCCAGCAGCTGAAAAACCCCCCACCAAATCCAAAAGAAAACATAAGGTAAGGACAGACATTTACAAGTGCACTACAAATTAACATCAGAAACTAGTAAAAAGCAAACCCCAGCTGACAAAATCAATAAATGTATTTTTTGAGATTTTTCTTACAAGTTTTTCACTGTAGTTGCTCACTCATCTATTTGTTTCCAGTGTTCTATAATCTGCAGAAAGTGATGAGTTCGTGTTAGTACAGTTTTGGCCATACTCAGATAATGTGACTTCTGTTTGGAAGGGAGAGGTTGATTGTCTGCCGAGTTAAGGTGTTTTCACCACTGGTTTAAACAGGCTTCATCAAAGTCATTGGAATGGTACTTGTTTATGCTCCTGGTGAATTTAATTTTTTTATTGTTTTGTGGTATGAACAAATACGATCCATAGAAATATAATTTACTTAACTAGCTGCTTTCTCTGCACTCAAAAAAAAATATATTTTGACTGCAGGCATTATGTTTTATCATGTGGTTTATGTTATTTATGCCTAAGGGTGTCCTACCTTGTGGGATATGACATTGCACTTCAAACTAAATGTGTTTTCAGAAAAGAAATTGAGGTTTTATATCCTAAATGAATTTTTGTAGTCCGTTTTTCCAGCTGAAAGCTTGTACTAGGGTCTGCCTGTAAGAAGTCATCAGAGTTTATTTTTTTATACTCCAAATTTTATAAGTCATTGTGAATATTACTTCAGCTGTCTGTTTTGGTGGACTTCTTGAATCCTAAGTTTGAGGAGTCCAGTGGTATATAAGAATTAATGCAAGACAAAGATGATGCCAGGCAGACACAGGGTCTACACCCCTGCCTAAATGAGTCACTGCACTGGCTCCTTCTCTGCTGAATTAAGTGAAAGTAATCACATAAGTAAACTCAGCAGGTTTTTATTCAATTTATATTCTAGCTGCACACTACAGAGATGCAAGAAGGAAGGAGAAAAAAAGAGGAGAGGGATGTATAAATGTCCATACTTATGTATGTCTGAGTACACTAGGGTGCATATTAATTATACCAAAAATAATTCTTGCTGGGTAGATTAGTGGAGTATCTGTATCATGGAGAAGGAATCTTGACTAAAACACAAGAGTAGAATTTGCAACTAAAGTTAGGGCTCCTAGGGAAGAAAAAAAAAAAGGGGGAGTTCTATGAAAGGTATAACCTCATCATTTCCTTAACTGAAACTTTGATTCAGAAAGTAGCAAACTGGAGAATCTTGCTCTGGGCCTGTGCTAACATAAGCTAGTCTCTGAAACATAAGATAGACTCTGAATCAGCCCCTTCAATGTTGTCATGTGATTGTTCACTGCTACCCAAAGGGGAAACAAGCCAATTAGGATGACTTAAGGGTATACCAAGTGTTAAAGCAGGGTAGGGAGAGACTAATTTTTGTTTCTAAATCATGCTATTAAAGATTTTATTTTAGCCATCTACTAGTGGACTTGAAGACTGATATTAAGGTTGTAGTGACAGAGCAATAATCAGCTTTGCTTGTATCGTCCTAGTTCAGGCAAAAAAGTTATGCATCAGGGACTCTTCCAAAGCAAATTTCAAATGAGCTATTGCTGTTAATGACTACCCCAGCTCAGTCCTCTACTCCTAGTCCTGTGAGGAATACTTACTCAGAGAAGTTTTCCCATCAACTTCTATTAGGTAAATGAGTAAAAGCTATTTACTTGAATAAAGTTCAGTGCTATCAAATCATTGCATCTAAATTATTAATTAAATTCCAGTGCACTATAGAAGATAACTTTAGCACACAAGACATTTTGCTTCCTAATTATCTGCTATGTCACTTGTTATATAACAACTTCACGTCCTGTGTTTGGAGCACGTTTAGCCCTTATTTCAGGTGACTTTCACTTCTCTTAGACCAGTAGTTTAACTGCTGCTGCTATAAAGGAAATATACTGAGATTCCATAGGTCATCTCGGTGGCCAGTGAAGCTGTGCATAAATGCTGGATCTTTTATGCTCTGCCATTTTTTGTTAAAGCAGACAGAAAGCCTGGAAACCTTTGTTGAAAGCAAGAAGCAGCGCCTGGAGGAGCCTCCAGCTTCCTGTCTGCTCCCACCTTGTATCTCTCCAATACCGAACCACAGAATAACCAGCACTAAAGAGTAAGTGGATTTTTGACATCACATTCCTGAAGGATTTCACAGTACTGTTCTGTAAATATCTTTGTTGTAGAATCAGATGGGCTTTACAGCCTATCAGCATAAGTGACACAGCCTTGTGGGTATTCCCATCCATGAGGAAGAAAATCCACGTGGCTTTGGATGAGGTTTGTTCCTCCTTTTGATGGCCTGCAGGACTTCAGAATGCTGCCACAAAAAGTGTACTTTTCAACCTCTTTTCAATGTTCTTTCTTGCCTCTGTTACCTTTAACCTCTGTGGACAGAGAATCCTGTTAAAAATGGGATTTATTTGATTGCCTGGAATTAATTTTTTGAAATCATTTTCATGAGTTCCCGGTTTTACTGAACAGAATAGTGAAATTGCCTTTTTGTTTTACCTGTGTATACAGCAATGACAGGGGCCACCATCCCAGGTGTCTCAGATATCTGCTTTGTATCTCAGCAGACAAACCATCCAATAGTTTGTGCCTTTCAGAATGTCTTTCAGAGATGGCTGTAATACTTGAACAAACAGGTGTCATATAAATTATGATTCTGATTATAGAGTCACAAGTTAACATTCTATAAATAGCCAAAGAGTCCAATTCCTTTTTTGTTATTTCGTGCTTCTATGATTTTGAGAAGAGGTGCTTCTTTTTGCTTTGTACTAGGATAAGCAAAGGATCAAAATCATAGCAGACTTCTAAAAACAATTTGAGGATAATATAGCTAAATTTAGATAAAGTTCAAAAACAACTTATGAAATAGCACACTAATTTCAAAATCCTTAACGAAAGTTGAGCATAATTTTATTCTGGTATTAATATGGAGTAACTTCAGTCTGTGAATTAGGCCCTCATTCAGGCACTGAGAAAATCAGAGATAGAGTCTGGAAAAGGAAGATGAGTTGAAAGTTACTGTGGGATGTGTAACATGTTGCACATTTGATAAACATCATGATGGGTGTTGCCTGATTGTCATTGCTAGATATACAATGAGCAGAGATATATTGCAGAGGGAATCAAGGATTATCCATCCCTAACACCTCCACAATCCATTAAAAAAAATATTTCTGTTCTTGTCACCATCAGGCCCTAAGGATCCACCCCCAACATGATGTTTCTTAATTTGAGCTTGTTTTCCAGGTCGTTAATTTGATTCCTCAGAGATTCCAACCCTTGGATATTCTCTGTTAAAACATAATTGTGTCCATCAATAGTTATTTCCACATACTAGATTTTTCTCTCATCTGCCTGAAGTTTTGGAGCAAAATTTTCTGACTTCGTTTCCACCTCAATGAGACCTGGATCACACTGCATTTGTTGTTACTAGTGTTTCCTGAGTTTGCTTGAAGAAAATGCAATACTTTTTTGATTCAGGTTTTCAACTCCAGACACATGCAACTGAATATAGACCAATGTATTTCCCAGAAGATCAGGGAGCTGGATGAACTGTGTGAAGACAATTTCATAGAAATTTAAATGTTCATTTTTAAGCAGTTTAAGCAGTCAGGAGTGATTCTGTTCTCCAGAGGGCTGAGTACATTTTTAAGGGGAGGCAGAAGAAAGTCCAGTGTTCAAGGCCATGGGGAAAAATAACATTTCAGGGGTAAAAAGTTGAAGAACAGGCTTTGCCATTTGGTATTCCCAAAAGTTCTAAGTTTCCTTTTAGAGTTCTCTATGTAAGGACTTTAAGAAATGCTTGTGAGTCAGCTACAGGTGTGAAGATGATCTTCCTTCCTTAAGGAGGTGTTTAGTCCCATGGTGGATGTTGCCACTTAGTAGGAAACTTAGGTCTCTCCCATTAGAATTTGATCCCTGTGCCAATAAGCCAAGTTCCCCAAGGCAGACATGAGATTTTTATTAGGCTTTTTTAAAGGTACAGGAGTGTTTTGACAGAAAGACCACGATCTGGGCCAAAATTTGGAGGCATTCAGGAGTCTGGAGCAATCAGTGAAAGATAGGTCACACCTGTGCTTTCACAGCTCCCATTGCCTGCCTTGCTGTGGTTTAGGCACTTGGATACATTTTTCTATAATCTTCCCCTAAATATATGGACTCAATAAAGCAAGCAAAGATGCACAATTAATCTTTAAACGGTCACATGTCTAATAGGGGCAATTATATGCCTAATTTCCACAAGTTTCTGTGATTGCATGTACAATTTGAAATTTCAAATGGCCTCTTGTGAACTTGAAAGGCATTTGCACAACCAGAAGCAGGTTTGTATTATGTAGTCTTTGCATAAGCCATAATTACATCTCTGCTTCTTCCCTCACATATTCAGTGGTTGATGCCTTTTCCAAAATCTGACCTGACACTTAAAATATATGTTCAAAGTATTGCCACTGTATTTTCCTTATTTCTGATACTTACAGCAAATGAAGGAATAGGTGTTTCAGTGTGTTTATAGGAATATATTGAAGCACTTCTGTCTGTGAAGCTGAATTTTTGTCAGATCAGCTGCCTGCTTTGCAGCAGAGGATTATTTATTTATATTTAGTTCCTTGACAGAGAAATTTTAATTTAAACATTAATTGTATGTGCTGGTGAATCCCATTGATATATGAATATTTGATTGGTAGACCCAGTCCAGACAGAGAGTGGACTCACCAAATATTCACCATTATTTGGCTTTTTGTAGCAACACAGGGAATTATTTGCTGATGAAAACTGTGAGTCAAACTGGACTCATACCAGTAAAACATGCCCACCATTTAGCAGGCATGCTAGAAATGGGTCTGAGGCAAGCATTTCTGCATTTTTGTTCTTCAAAATTTCACGTTCGCTTTTGTTTGACCTTTAGTTGAAGATGCACCTCTCCTTGGCAGTACATATGAGCTGATCCCTTGGGAAGTCACAACAGCATTCATTGGGGTTCCTTCATGGCACAGGCAGCCTTCACATCTATGGCAATGACTTCAGCTCCATTCAGGTGCTGCCATATGGTCCAGGCTGATGTGGGAGTGACCTTTCCTTGTAAACCCTGCAGAAAGTGAGATACACCATCAATGTGCAGCATTTCATTGTGGTCCGGGGGAGGAGAGGCAAAGAAAAGCCAAGTTCCTGGTACAGACAGGGCCTTTGTCCCACCAGGCCAGAGATACCACTGCATACCACAAGGAGTGGATAAAAAAAAAGGCAAAGAAAAGCAGCTTGAAGCATGAGAGTAGCTGGAAATTTTCCCTTCTTCATGCAATAACTTCTTGTTGCCTGTTTGCTTTCTTGCTTGCTGCCCTAAAAAAAAAAAAACTGGAAAAAAAAAAAAAAAAAAAAAAAAAAAGCAGATGGGGAACCTACTCCTTCTTTGATAATTGGCCTGTTTTAGACACGAAAGATTAAAACCCTGCAGCCACAAGGCCATCAGTTCTGCTTGTAGTTTTTCAGAGCACTTTGTGTTTCTCCCTAGATTTTAAATATATTTTAACTAACAATCATGTCAGCAAATTAAACCATTGAGTCTCAGTAATTATTGCAATAAATTCATTCAAAATTAGCGATTCCTGCAATCAAAGACCAGTTTCTTAGGCCATTAACAGCCCAAAGCAAAGTGACAATCTGGTTAACTGCTGGTAACAACCTATTTCATGGAGGTTATTGTTAGCATAAATGCTTTAGTGTAAATCGGAGGGAGGTGACATTGCTAAATAAATTATCAGCTTAATTCCTGCAAAAACTTATAGAATTAAGTGGGCAAGGGAAAGAAAAGAAAAAAACCCAACAGACAGTTAAAACTGTATTTATGGGGGGATGGAGTTAAATGTAAGTTATGTAGAAAAAATAGCCTCCAGCCTTTTGTTTTGTGGTTAATTCTTCAAAGCCACAGAGTGATTTATGTGCCAGAGTTGAGTAGTTGCACCTGTTCCTTGGTTTGCCCAAACTTATATCTGAGCCCAAAGATGAACTGAACTGGTGAAGTTTTAATAGTGAAGTTTTAAATAGTGATGAAACTCCTACGTGCACAGTGGCACAGAAAACCACTTTGCTCTGTGTTCCCCCTGTGAATGCATGCTCAGGGCTCCCTGTGTAGAGCATGTGCTCGGGAGGCAGAGGGTTTGGGTTCTGCTCCTGGGTGCTTCTGTAGGTTAACTGTGTCTGCTTTTCTGCTGTACAATCCAAGAACACCTGTTTGCTTTGTCAGGGCAGTGTGCACCCTCTTTGGAAGCTTCTTCCTCTGGAAAAAGCACAGAGTGTTGTGAGCTATAACTATGGTAACTTGTCTGAGTTCTAAAATGCCCTTTGGGGGTCAGAAAGTGAACAGATGGAGCTTTGAGTGAGAACTTTCTGGAGGACGTATTGCAGGACCACATGTGCCTAAAATCAGTCTCCTCCAAGAATTGCTGATGTAGTCCAACATGGTTGTTTGCCTTTGATCTTCTTCAGACCCATGTGTTTTCCAAGAAGGACAGCATCCATCCATAAGGCAACATGAATTTGAGCTTGTTTTATTTCTTCAGTCTGAAGATCTTTAATATCATAAGGTTTCAAATAAGATATTTTTAACTCTGCTTCAGTTGAATTAAAGTAGTTTTGGGTAGAGGAGCTATAAAACTTGAGAAATTTGTTTGATTTCACTCTGTGGTTTCACAGATAAGGCTAAAATATTTCTGCATTACCAAAGGTCCCAAGCAGGGCAGTGACCAAGGTGTAGATGCTGATACTGTCAGTGAAACTGCAGAAGAGGTCAGACTGAAATGAGAGAGAGCCCCTAAACAAGAAGTAAGGAAACCTGGGTTGCCTTCTCCTCTTTCCCAGGTTATTTTGAGGCAACGGAGATCAGTAATTCCTGACACTGACTGAAAGTGGGAACAAAACATAAATTCTTGTTGACTTAATTTGTTATTGAAATTTTAGTCAATAATCATGAAAAGTAAATGATCATGTAGTGCAATATTACATGTCTAATAAAAGATTAAAATTCAGGTTATCTTCATTGACTGAGCTGGGACAGTACCTGAAATAAAAATCTATGAGTAGATTAACATGTTAAATAGTCAGTGAAGTCTTGAGTTTGGTTTTTTCTTTTTTGATGAATTTGAGTGGAGAAAGGTCTACTAGGTTGGGGTTTTTTGATTTTTTTTCTGGTTTTACTGTGCATTATAGCTGCCATTTCTAGCCAGCTAGCAATTTCTGTACATAAAACAGACAATAGATTATCAGGTTACTTGAGCTTTCATGTCAAAACCACATTCATTTTCTGAATCACGTTCAATTCATCAAAAAATATTTGCTCAAGGGCTTTTGCCAGCTACAATGTATCATTTTAATATAGTGTTGAACATTGGCTTTATTCTAGAGGCTAAATAATTATTATCTTGTTATTGTTATGGTTATCATTTTTGTAGTTGTTATAAATTCTATTTTTGGTTCATATGCTGCCATGTGCTGTTTGGTTTTTTTTGCAAAGGTTGCTTATGTGAACCCTAATCCACCTCTTAAAAAGATGCTTAATGTTAAACACATAAATAGTCATACTTGATGTCAAAGGAACTAACCCTGTGCATAAAACTTTCCAGCACTTTGCTGAGTCAGAACCTCTATGACCTCTCAAATGAAGACTGACTCAAATTAGCATTTAAATTGGGTGCAATTTGTACTAATGCACTGCAAGTTGTCCTCCAAAGCAGAAGGTTTCTGCAGTCATTGAAAAGGCAGAGGCAGCTCCTCTGTTTTCACTGCTGTCCCCTTGTGCATCACCACGGAGGGCACGGGACTGCAGGACAGATTGGAGGGCAGAGCTGGCTTCTCAGTAAATAAAATGTAGAGCTTTGTGCTGTGGAGAATTAACCAATATTCTTGAGTTGCAACTGGTTTTTGTGTGTGTCTCAGGAGCAGCAGTAGCTCGGTGAAGAAGGTGACAAAGAAGAGAGAAGAGAAGTTGTTCCCTCCTCCCTTGTCCCCGCTCCTGGACGATCCTGTGCACCGGCGGCACGGCAGTGACAGCAGCTCCTTCAGCCAGGAGCCTGCTGTCACAAACCCCTCACAGACCAGCAGCTCTTCCTCCTCTGTTTCTAAACACAGAAAGAATGAAAATAAATCTTCTTCTAACCCCAAAGGAATCTGTGTAAGTAACCAGCCTCAGTTGGTGCCGGTGAGCAAGATAAAATGAAAACAGTTCAGCTTTATTCTGTTGGATTTTTTTTTTCCATACAGTATGAATTTCTAAATGCTTATGTAGGCCCACTCAGGAGGAGTGGATCTTTGCAGAGCCAGGCATAAACAGTTCTTGCAAGCTCCATTTTTAGGTCAGCATTAGGCACCTGCCTGGTGTTGTCTATCATTCCCTGAAGCACCTGGACCTTGAGCCTCAGAGAAGAGTCTCTGCAGCCATCATCTATCTGAAATTAGTCCCTTAACTCTGTAGCTGAAACACATACATTTTGAAAATAAAATTCCAGAATATCACCTGAATAACTGTCCCAAACTTTCAGCCAGAATTAAGCACTGTAGTCGTACTGAATATTATGGCCTAAACCAAACAGACAAAAAAAATATAACAAAATATTCCTGTCCGTAGTACACTCAGCATGTTAATAACCTTTTTCAGGCTTACAACAGTAAGGTTTATTTATGCTTAATCTTCATTAATTATTTGTAAGCTTTTATACAATTTGCAAATAGGGGTTTTTATTCCCTTCAGAATATCACACTGTTAGGGCCATCTCCCCATCATTGGTTCTCACACAGACAGTTCTTTGTTGCTTGCTTTTCACCAGATTCAGGTAGATTTTTTTTTTCTGAAAATACATGAAAAAGAGCCAAACTGCATATCTAATTCCCTGAAGCAACGTAAAATTTCACATTAGTTTGTCATCCTCTTTTTAGGTTAAACAGAGAAACTCCAGAGTTTTGGCCCATTTTAGAAAATAGTTCTTCCTCTAGAGTTTCAAACCCATCCTTACTTTATATTATCAAACTGTATCTTAGTATCACTATCAAAATTAAAAGACAAGAAGAAAATTCTGCCACAGAAAAGGGCATGCATAGCCCCATTTTTCACAGTTCACCACTTTGAGAGAGGTTGTTACCCTGCACTGTAATAGTAAAACTCACAAGTTGCATTGAATTGTAGGTGACAAATCACTTCACCTTATTCATTCATCCCTGTTGCTTTCTGATATCATTGTGTCACTTCAAGCTGCGCCAGTAATACACACGCCTTCAACTGAAATCAGTGCCAAAATGAACTGCATATGTCAGCAAATAAACAGTGCTGTGTAAACAGCAGGGCCTCTTCCTCTCATCCCAGCATCTCAAGTCAGATTTATCCTTGGTTAATCTATTATCTTGATGCAAGAAATATTCTTCCCCTAAAATATGTTAGACTTCTTTCCCTAGTTCATTGGTTCATCTGTAATTTAGTATATCTGTTTGGGGACCAAGCTTGCAAGTTGCAATTGCCTGATTTAAAATCTTCTGTTATGCTTCTGGTTTTAATCATTGCAAAGTCACAACTGACTTCTGATTTCCATTCTTCTTTCTGTAGCAAGAGAGGAAATTGTTCCCTGCTGAAATCCAAGCAGACTCTTCAGCCACATTAACAGTTAGCTCCTAGTTATACAGAATAAAGGTTACATTAGTGTGATACACCTTGAAGAAGTAGAGTTTAGATCTAGCCTGGCCCATGAGATCTCCCCCCGCTTGCTTTAACCAGTGTCTCTAGTCAGTAACACCATGGTATCCTCCTAAAACTTACACCTCAAAGTGTAAATTACTGAGTTCAGCTGAGAGCTCAGAAGTGGAGTTGTACTCCCTAATTAATCTATTAGGCTCATGTTACAAGGAAGGGAAGGGTGTTTTGGTGAGGTGGCATGAAGGTAGGTGGGCTTTGTGCCTTAGCCTTCAGTTTCTTTGGGAAGGGTTTTTGGCAGGGAGGATGGATGTGAGCGCTTACATTGTTGGAAGGTGTTTGTTTGAACTATGAATAACAGTCCTGTGTTTCCTAGGAGGAAGAATCTCACAGTACACCCACAGCCAACACTCTCCTTGACACCAGCCATCTAGAACCAGACCTCTGGTCTGCAATGCCAACGCTTTCCAATGGGAATTCTGAGCCCAGAAGACCCAAAATAACATTTGATGATGTGTAAGTTTTATTGACTTTGTGCTCTGTGATTGGAATTTTTGTGCAAGCAGAGGTCCCAGTGAAAGAGAATATCTTTGATTACAGTGCTGGCATTGGGCACCTGTGTGGATAGTGATGCACAAAGGCACACACAGTTTTAATCTTGGCAAATGAACTGTTGTCACTGATTAATGAAGATTCTGTTGATAAATGTTTTCAGATCATGAATGTTGGTTCACAGTAATTCTTCTTATTTTTTTTTATTTCAGCTCCTCTAATGGAAACTTATTATACTTAATTAGTTTAAAATATTTTTCCTTTTCCTCTGTTCAGCACACATTAATAGGTCCTTTGGGCAGCCAGTTTCTACAGCTACTTATTTTACATTCTGGTCACCCATCATATCTCTGCATACAGCAGCTCCAGATTGATATCAGGTTAAGATTTAAAGAGATAAGTGGGCATATATGTCAAATTATTCTTTAAAGCAGTCAGCAATTTTTTCAAACAACATTTGTCCAGCTATATGAAAGCAAAGTCTTGAATTAATTGATTTTGTCTCTCTAGGCTGCACAATGCAGATTATTACATGCAAGAGGCTAAGAAGCTGAAGCATAAAGCAGATGCACTGGTAGGTTATCACAGGTTTTTTTTGTCTCTTTCCACTGTGGAACTCAGTGTTAAAAAATGAACATTATTGCACAAGATCTAAAGCCTCTCAAACCAAGAGGAACTCTGCTACTGACTAAACTGTGCTTCAGTTTGTGCTCCATATACACACTGTGCACAAGTTAAACACTGAATGCCATTCCTAACTTTTAAGAATTTGTTCCCAAAAGAAAGCTACTTACAATAGGTGGTGTTTCTTCCAAGGGGGAGCAACAGTTATGCTGTTTATGAAGTATGTAAGATGGTTTTATGAAAGTTGACGTGTATTTGAAATTTGGTTTTCTATTCATTTTTAGCCTAAAACAGAAGTGATGAAATATTCCATAGCAGAAAGACAGGCAAATCATCTCACACCCCATTATCATGTGGTAAAACTGTTTGATATTTCCAATCTGATTGTTTAAAATCTGAAACAATTCATTTTTATGTACTACATTCATTTTTATGGCGTGGTTTTAGGCTGATAAAGTCTCAACACACTTATTTCCAAAAAATCTGGTAGTGAGGTAGTTCAATGCTGGGAAAGCTTTTTTGCTTGCTTTACCCCAAATGAAATTCCAATAAGATTTGCCTAATTATGCCAAGTGTTTGGATATTGATAACACTACATAATCTGACATTGTATTCTACCATGGTTTGTTCTGTACAAGATATACCAGTTCTGAGGTGTCCTTAATGAACATTTTCTTTGCAGGAAGGGACTTTGTCTCCTGTATGTTACATAGGGTGCAGAACAGTGGCTTAATCAGGAAGACTTAGTGGAGCTTGACTCCTCTATTCAATTTAACTAAAATGTCTAAAATAGAGTGTGACCGTCCCCTTTGCCCCTCAAAGAGCTGGGTGTTTGTTCACCTCTCAACTTTATTATTTCTGGGGGTTTTGCATGTATATTCTTATCATTACCCATCAGAGATTTATTTTGTGCTTAGAAAAAAAGAAAAAAAAACAACCAAATACATGCTATGTTTTTAAAAAGCAAAGTAACAAAACAAAAAAGCCTCTCCCTCTGCTGTCAGTGAGCTGAAGGAGAGCTGACATTTCAAGCTGTCTGCTTCAGCTCTCCAGGCTCCCTTTTGGCTTGGGGCACAGCGTTTCTAAGTGTTTTCTGTGTGGGGTGGTTCAGGGTTTTGGCACCTGTTGTGGCTGTCAGCAAGGTGACAGTCACCCCTCCCTGCATGCCACTGACAGGAGGTGGCCTGATGGCTTCCAGCCAGCTCGGCAGGGCATGTCCAGCCACAGCCTGGCGTCTGCAGGCTCACAACACCTCCCGCAGCTGGGTGACCTTTAAACAAAGCACACACGCTGCTGGCACAGGGCTACCTGCTCCATGCTAGCAAATATTTACAGGCTCAGGCTCCTGATGATCTCGGCACGCTCCGGCAGTTCCCCTCCCTCGGCAGCCGGACGAGCTCACGAGGTGTTGGCCCTTCTCCTGTGCTCTTACCTGTGCCTGCAGGATCAGGGTGTTTCTCCACCTGTGCCTGCAGGATGAGGGGTGTTTCTCCACCTGTGCCTGCAGGATCAGGGTTTTTTTTCCCCTTTTGTTTTTGCTTGCGGGTTCGGGTTTTTTTTCCGCTTTTGCTTGCGGGTTCGGGGTGTTTCTCGATCTGTGCCTGTAGGATCAGGGGTGTTTCTCCAGCAGCACTAAGAGGAGCAGGCACAGCACATCCCATTGCTGCCCACAGGCAGGTCCTGCCTGACAACCCAAGTGCCCTGACGTGAGGCCGTCCACTGTGATCAACTTGTTGGCAGGCATAAATATCCATGAACAAAGTATCTGCTTTTTCCTTCTGCTATTTAGATCTCAAGTCTTTTTTTTTTTTCCCACCCAATGCAGCTGCACACAAATAATCTCCATGTAAAACATTTGGTGTGCAATCCCGTAGTGTTACTTGTCCTATGGAAACAATTGCTGCTGGTTACTTGGTGCTGACATGACAGAGCACAGGCAGCATTGAAAGATGTGTTGCAGTGGCTAGAAAGATAATGCATGTGACCTCAAAATGTGTCAGCAAATGTTAATGAGATTTGTGGCAGCAGTGTTCCTGAGCTTGTAGAGAAAATAGATTTCTGGTGAAGGGCAGGACGTTTCCTGTCTTACGGGAGCAACCCCATGGAAACCTCTCCTTGTCTGGCTGCAGTAAGGTATCAGCTAATTTGGGTGGGCTGCTGCAGTGGCAACTTGCTGTACCATATGGAAGAGATCTGGGAGACCTCACTGTGTGCCTGTCTGAGATGTGACAAGCTGGAATAATTCCACCTTCTTCAGAGAATCGGATCCCATTCCTGGCTCAAATTCTGTGTCTCAACTAAATCTGCTTGCAGCCAGATTCTTTTTTCCATACCACAAAAAGTCATCTTTGGAAGACTTTTTGTCTTCCAAAATGAATGGAAATTCTTTCAAAGTGAAAAAAGGAATTTAAAGAATATGCTGAGAAGCAGCCACTGGAATAGAGAGGGAGCAGTCAGAAACATTTCCTTTTTTCTGATAATTCAGTTAATACCTATCAATTATAAAAAGGCTCTGTATGTAATCAATGCACTAGAGCAGTACTTGAAATTAAAGGTGGGCAGAGAGAATTAGTTATGGTTTAGAAGGAGCCACAAAGACAAGTATACTGTTATCTTGGACCAGTAATAAATGTTATGTTTAGTATGTTGTGAAAATAGGCTTCTGTTTTGTGAATGGAAACATATGCAGATGCATCAAAAATATTTTGAAAGAGACATAGAAAGACATTTTTAAATTATTTAAAGTATATTGGATCTCCTATATCAAATGCCACATTAGTAGAATTCTTACATTCAGCTATCAAAAACTGAAAATGTTAAATACTATTATAAAGTGCATACTATAAAAATGTCATATATAATATTCATTACGCATAAAAAAAGAAATCAGTATGTCTAAGTCAGTTTAATCACAACCATTATGAGGGCTAAAACCTTTTGCAATAAAATCCTAGTAAAATGAAATATTAAGCAGTGCTATATTGTCTCCCTTTTTTTTTTTCCTTCTCTTTACTCATCATATAAATGATGTGATTTTTTTTTTTTGACGAACAGTTAATACAGAATCTGACATCAGCCAAATGGCATGGAGTTGTTACTTAACCCTTTCATAGTGACATTCAAACGTAGTTCATCTGTCAAGGAGCAGTATGGATGTGCACGAACATGCTTAGTGCCCTTTCTTGCCTGTGTAAATCCCTGATGTCAGTGGACATACACTGACTTTCCTCTGTGGAGCATTCAGCCACATAGTACCCTGAAAAGTTTTGGTAAAAAACATAGTCCCTGCCTTAATTGCTTTATGAATTAATTTTTAACTACCGGTGTTGCTTTGCTTTCATCCTAAAGCTAGTGTTGCTTTGTAGAATAATCTGCCCACCTAGAAATCAAAGCTGAAGGATTTTCTTGACAGTGTCATTCCCATTTCAGCTGGAGAAGTTTGGTAAAGCAGTGAATTATGCTGATGCTGCCCTCTCCTTCATCGAGTGTGGGAACGCTATGGAGCGAGATCCATTAGAAGCTAAATCTCCATACACCATGTACTCAGAGACTGTGGAACTCATCAGGTTAATGTCCTTTCTGTGATCATTTTCATCATCTCATTTCAGTCATAATTAGAACCTGCTATGTTTTAAAAAATACCATTTCAACGTATTAATGATTTGTCCAAGGCATCTTCATCTCAGAAGTCATCATAATTAGTTCTTGCCATTTTATTAATGTCATGGAAAATTTATAATTGATGGACACTGCTTTTATAAATTATCCCCTTTAGAGGTTATAATGTGAGTGTTATAATTTGCAATATTCATAAAATTAAAATTGAAATGTAGTGGGTGGAAGTAAAGTATAGTAATTTCACTGTTTGGCAATGACACTTGTCTTTTAAAAGGTGTAGTTTTATAATTCTAAACATTAAAGGGAGTCTATCAGGATTTCTATTACAAACCCTGGTTTTAGAGGTTTATAACTTGGCTGTTAAAAAAGAGAAAAGCTGAAACTTGGGATAAAATATTATAGCCAGAGAGGAAGCTTCTGCATATATTGTCCTGAAAACAGTATATTTTTAATGTTACAGGAATGTGAACTGGCTGAATTAATTTTAATACAGTTTTGTAGATTCATAGGCTAGAATATGGATAAGAGAGTCTTTACATACTAATAAAATGTCTGAATTATTCTAAAATCTGCTACTGCCTCCTTATAGCTGTTTCATAGTGTTGGGTCCACAGAAATAATAGTCTCCTGTGTTACTAAATTTGCTTTACTTGAGCAAATTATCAAAGTGAAATCAAGCAGGTTTAAATTTACCTGTAAGTAGAACAACAGGATTTTTCCTCTTCACTGTGGTGCACCTTTGCTTTCCCCATTGTATGCTGGGAACATCCTTGTTAATGTCAGTGTAATTACTGGCAGTTTGCAGAAGTGAAAGAAAAAGAGGCAAATCAAGCCTTAAATATTTGGGTTTTAATATGTCAACGGTGTTTTTTCTTAACATGCCGAATTAGCTATTAGGGACTGCCAAGATAATGCATGTTTTACATTTTGAATAAGTAGGTATTTGCATAAAAAAATGTATCAAATCTTAAGCTCTTACTATCAGGTAAATAATATACCTGTTAAATATATTAAAAAAAAATTACATTTTACACTTCATAAAGGGAAGAAGGAAATCTAAAGAAATCACTAAAGAAAAAAAATTATGTCCACTCAACACTTGATCCATGTTAAACCCTGGAGAGCAAAGGACTTAGAAAAGGAGCCACCTGCCTCTGCTCTGCTGTGCCTAAATTGTCCTGCAGACTGACACAACTGCAGCTGCATGGCAGAATAAATTGTATTTAAAGAAGTATTCTTTAAAAAAGGGAACACTTCTTCATAGGAGCCTGCACTTATTTTTGGTTTTTTAAGAAAACCACACAACCCAGTTGAAATCATTGCTCCTCAGTCCAGCATTCTGTCTGTTCAGAATGCACAGACCAAAAAGCTTTGTTCACCCATAACATGTGAACCAGTTAAATCAGAGAATGGCAGCTCCAGGAGAGGCTTACAAAAGGGCAGGACCTGCAGGGAGCCAGGTGAGGGCACAGCTGTATCCTGGGGTACCAGCAGCCCTGCGGCCTTGCTGCTTCTGGCTGTGGAAGAATCTGGAGAATATGTTATAGTAGATCTCCAATATATAAATAGCTTAAGTCAGGTGAGATTAATTCTACCACTTACCACCAAAAGTAGAGTTTAGTTCACCAACTGTTGCATGTAGCATCTCGTTGCAGCCAGTGAGAATGCTGAGCCCATTTAACTGCTGTCAGTGGTCACACATGGACAAAAGGTGATTGCTCAGTAAAACTCCATGGATCAGGACACAATTCCTGTGGGCTACAGTGGGTGCTGGATGTACAAACAATGTGGCTGTGCACACAACACCTTCTCAGCGTAGCTGTTAATATTAACATAGTTTTTACTGTGAGATAACAAATAGAGGGAGATTTTTCTCATTTTTACTTTTCATCAGATGCACAATTTCCCCCTTTTTCCATTTAGCTGTGTCTGCCCTGACTATTTGCATCAGACACCTATTTGTGAAAGCAAGTGGAGCATCAAAGAGATTGGGACTATCAGAGATCTGACTGTCAAATGTGTTTTAAGTTAATGGTAATGCTGAAATCCCAAAGAGACATAAATCTTTGTGTTTGATCACATTCATCCAGTGTGACTAGAACCACAATACCCAAGAGCAGGTGGGACAGGATGCAGCTGCAAGCTGGGCTGAGATGGCTGGTGAGAGCAAGGCAGGGGAGAGCAGCACAGCTGCCTGCACTCCATTACCTCCTCGTACATGAGAACTCGTCTACACTGCCTGGATACCTTAAAACTTCCTTACACAACGCTGAACCCTATTACTTATTCTAACACAAGTACCTGTGAAATTGCATTACAGCTCAGAACAATGATTTTATGCGATGAATTGATTTTCAAGAGACTAATGCATAGAATGGAGTGTGCTCACTTAAAGGAAAAAAAAAGACAGAGGAAATAGGAATACCCAATCCTTGATCATCCAAATGCTGGACAGCAGCAATTAAATAGAGAGGGAAAACCAAGTACACAGGATTCATAAATTAATGAACCCAAGAATGAAAAAGCTGTGAACATGACCTTTCTGATATGTAAAACTATTTTCTATATAAAATATATTTATGAAAAGGATTTTGAAGATACTATTCAAGCCCAAAGTATTATATGTAAAACCTTATTATATGTTACTTTACACTTCAGTACCTATAGGGCCAAGATCTTATGCTTCTGTTCAACACTCATCCCAAATGTTTGCAGGACTCAGCCTAGCTGGCTGGATATAATATCATTAATATACCCAAGAATAGTTCACTTTGTTGGCCCAAAAAAATTGGTTGGTGATTTACTTAAGGCCTCCAGATTTTAAGTGATGCTTTCTGTTGCATTTTACATTGACCTCTTCATTACACAACACTCTAACACAATAACTGTTGCAGTTGGAGAAGAATATCTGATTACTTTTGGAAACATTTTAACTCTCAATTTCTTATCTCTCACCTTTCTGACAAGGTATGCAATGAGACTCAAGAATTTCACAGGCTCTTCTGCCACAGAAGGGGACAAGAAATTAGCAGTTTTATGGTAAGTCCCTTTGCAACAATGAGAGAAGCAGCTAAAATCTTAAAGAGGACTTTGAAAGTACTGAATTACTTAAACAGCTTACAGAAGATCATTATTCTTGTTTTCCATTAAACTATTAAAGGATAACTAATGGATTTCTTCAGCAGCTGACTAAACATTTATTCTTCTAATTTATACTCTTATCAAGATGGGATTTTAATGCTTTAGACCACTTTTTTTTTTTTCCTCCATTTGCTTATGTTTCAAAGTGTAACCTTAGAACAGAGACTGCAAAATATAGGTCAGCTTTTTTTTTTTTTTTTTACAGTTTATAGGTTTCATTAAGCAATGGAATTAACATAATCCTTTCCTAATTACTGCAGCTACCGATGCTTATCACTTCTCTACTTGAGAATGTTTAAACTAAAGAAGGACCATGCTATGAAGTACTCCAGATCTCTGATGGAATATTTTAAGGTAATCTTTATTCTGTTTAATTTATTGATATGAAATGAAATTGATGCTAGCACTGAGAGCTCTCAAAAGTATAACTGCATGACTTAAAAGTCCCACATTTAACCTCTCCCCTGGAAATGCAGGCAGGATGGCTGCCAGGCAATGGGGACAGAAGTGATTTGGGGGATTTTTGGATTAGTCACTTGATTCAAAGGACCATACTCAGTAATTTTACAAAAATAACATTATTCTCAACACCATGTAATGTTTATGCAAGTTTCTGATTCTTTCAAGGTTTCAATGTGCAAGTGATTATGAACTGACCCCCAATGAACCATAATAAAGCAATTATTTGGGCTGTAGTTGGTTAAGTTTAGATTTTAGATTCAGTGAGATTTCCTGAAGCTTATTGCAGTTTCAGAGATTTCTCCTTTTATTCCTGTGGAACTTCAAATTACCTTAACTTCATCTTGAAGATTTGCCTTTACCTTGAATTGAGCAGAGATCCAATGGTCATGACTTGGGAATGTTTTGTTTTACCTTGTCAAATGCTGTTTACCCAGTGTAAAAATGACAAATCATCACTGTTCGTAGATTAAGAGAGAAATAGAATCTTTCTTCAGCTCTGAGGTTTTCGTATTTATATTTCACTGGTTAATGCTGTTTGAAGCATACATTAATTCTTTTACTTTATTACTACATATTATTCTATAATTATGTAATTATGCTGGCTTGTCAGCCCATCAGTCTTTTTTTGTTGGTGTTTTCAGCCTTTGTGAATTTGTTCAAGGCTTTGATATATTGCAAACCAGTAAAAACCTCTAACACTGCAGTTTTCATATTTTCATGTAAATGGTGATAAAATGGTCCTTCTGCTGTAAAACTCCAGTACTGCTGTGGCAGCAGCCATAGTCCTGACTGCCCATGTGTCCCCTATGTGTGTCTCTGTGCAACTTCAGTAATTTCAGTCCTAATCTTGTGCTTAAGTGGAGGCTCTCCTGTACCATTAGGAGTGCCTCTGTTGTGCTCATGGAGTTTTCAGACAGGGATTTGTACAACAAATTAAATTTGAGCTACACACATTTGTAATCTCAGCATTTTCATGAAATGTATTCCAGCCACTTCAGATTCTATCCCAGATGAATGTAGATTGTATCTTAAAAAAAGGATTATTAGACAAATAAAACTTTTTCTGCAGAAAGTAATGATTTCTAAAAAAAAAAAAAAAAAAAAAAAAAAAGGTGGGAGCAGGGGAGAATCTCTTGCTTTAAAGCCACTTTATTTTCTCTAGGTGTGCAAGTAGGTAATATAAAAAACATATTTACTACTCCCAGCATAAGAAAATGTCTTTTCATGTAAATTAAAATAAGAGAAAAAAATAAAAACACAATAAAATAGACAAATCAGGAATATTAGACATGAGCATGCAGTTGGAGCTAAGTGTTTCAGTTAATGTTACAGTGTGTGTGCTATGAGCACTGTAACTCATTTGCTAGGAGCAGTGTTTGAGTGTATACAGATTATATGGTCAGGTTCTTTCTGTAATAAAGGCACAGGAGGAGAAAAGAAAAAAAATGGGAGCTATTAACTATGTGTTAGTTTTGTATTGCTGCACCATGCTCTCTGTGTTCACTAGCAAGAATCTGTAATACAAATGAAATAGATTAACTGTTTGAATAGAGTTGTTATTCAAACTTTTACACAATTTTAACTGTGAAAAGCAGCCCACTGTTTACAGCAGAGCTGGGGAGGAATTTTTGAGCTAAATTGTTCTTTATATTTTTCCTCACAAATGCCACTTTGTCCAAATTGAAACCATTTGTGGACAAAACTGGTTCTGATTAATTTCCAATTAAAAGCTTCAAAATTATACTTTTAACATTTCAAAACAGAAAATAGCCATTTAATCATGAAAGCAATTTTGAAATTTAGAGGCAACTTGGAGTAAATACCACTAAAGTGATAATTTTTTTTAATTGAATTTAAACATTTTATTATCAGAAAAAGTGGCATCCTGATGTATTTCCTCTGAAAGTTTGAGGAAGATTTTCATGTTTTTGAAAACATGCTGTCAGTAGTCATTTTTGCTAAATATTTTCATTATCAAATAACTGCTTCCAATTGAGATCTAGTCTTAATCTTGACAGAGCTATTGTTTGTCTCCCGGTACAGTTAGGAACAATCCTCAGGCAGGAAAAATTAACAATAAAAGCTTCTCCTCCATTTCTGAAGACTTTCCAGGGCAGTTTAGGTCCCTCTCTCCTCATGTGCTCCATATGCTGTGTGCTGTGGACACCCCAGGTCATGCTCACAGCCTCTGTGACGAGCAGTGGCTGCTGAGCAGGAATGCCCAGCCAGGCCAGTGCCGTGGTTTGGACAGTGTTTTCTGCTTTGGTCAGAAATGTTGGGCTGTGAGCTGTGGTTTAGAGTCAAGGGTGCTGTCTGTGCTCCCCTGAACCTCTGTGCCTTCCATGCAAGATAGCCATTACAGTAACCAGATGGGCATTGTAAGAATGTGGGTAATATTTTGTAAAACTTGATTGCATTTTCACTGTGCGTGCTGACTTCTCAGCAAGGGAGCTGAATGATTGTTTTCAGAGGGCACACAGAGATAGCCTCAGCCCTGATACTGCCACTTTGTATGGGAACTAAGATACCACTCAGTCTGAGCACAGCTGGAAAGACCTGGGCTTTATTGTTGCTCGGCAATCTTTTTGTACAGGGTTTTACAAGGTGCTACACAGACGTGAAAGGCAGAATGAGTAAGCAGGTAAGGAAAGTCAATTTGTGCCACTAAAATATATAAAAACAAAAGTATTCAAGCAGATCCTTACTAAAATTTTTATTTATAATACTATCTGAATCCCAAGCCACCTTCCCTAAGCAACTTGGGAGGGATCAATTTCATTAAAGCATCAAGCCAAATTATTTTTATTTCTTATTAAAATACTGAAGGTCCCTCTAAAGATAAGCAGTCATTTTCACTCTGAAAAACTTATTTTGTAGAATAAGTTTCAGTGGTAATTTAACCACTTATTTGTGACCTACGTTTACTTTTACTGGAATTTATTCTCTCTTTCATCAAATGATTTTCAAGCTACTGGTTGGAACCTACCAAATCATCCACCAGGCACTTAATTATGGGACCAGTGTGCAGAGCTTTTCTGCTCCATGCACTGTAGCTCTTGCAATGAAAAGGGGGAATGTTGAGCCTTGTGTCATCAGTATTCATATACTTGCATCACCTGTATTTACATTTTTGTTTTGTGCTTACAGAACTCTTCAAAAGCCTCACAGGCCCCCTCACCTTGGGGCGGCAATGGAAAGTGAGTATTTTCTGCTGAGTACTTCTGTCTGGAAACAAGGGGTTCCAAGAGGAGGGGAAGTGTTTTTCTGCCTCTAAAGGCAAAGGACAGGTCATGGGATCAGTGTTTTTGGAGCTGCAGGCATATTTCAACCATGTATCATGTAGAAACTGTTCTTCTGGTATACAGAATTGATCATAGAGCTGCCTTGGGCTCGTGGGGGCAAGGGGCTCCCTCTGGACTAAGTCAGATCCCCCTGTGAGCCATCCAGTGTGGGCAGGAAGGGAGAGTGAATCACACCTTCATGTGTGCAAAGCCTCCTTAAATCTAAAACCAGACATGGTGGGTATGTGCTGAATTCTTTGCCAGTTTACTTCTCAAGCCAAATGAAGGCCATAAAAATATCAGTTAATTAGCTGGCAAGTACCATGACACTTTAGGAAGCCAAAGTAAAGTTAACCTTCATTGCAATGATTTTTCAATGATTCGTTCAGCAATGAAAGACCAATGAATATTTCATTGATATATGGTAAGTGCTGTTTAATAAAACTGAAGGTATAATAGTGGTGAAAATGTGAAGGCACTTAGTCAGCCAATTATCAGTGGCTTCATATTAACGTTAAAACACCCTCACCTCAGATATGAAGTCAGGATAATGCAGTTATGATCAGTGGAGGTGCATTGCTGCTGCATCCCTGCCTTTATCTTGCAATGGCTGTTGCCAGCTGACACACATTTCTCCTGCTTCTTTGTCCTGGTAACACATCCAGACAGAAGTAAAACAAAGGTGAAGGACTTCACCTTTTTATCCATCTTTATTTGAGTAGGCTAAATTCTAGGTGAAAATTATTATTGTTAATGGTCTCTTTCTGGTGGTTCAGAAGAAGAAATGACTATTAGACACTCCAGGGAAACAAAGAAGGAGGGGTTGAAGTTTAGAACAAGAACTGAAGTTTTCAAAAAGACTTTGTACTCAATCAGGGCAAAACCAAAAATTCCAGCATTTTGGTTTAAGTGAAATATTGACACAAATACTTAAAAATATTTTAGGGTATAGATAAGTATAGATACACACCCCAAATACTCAGTTATTTTGAATATGTATGTATAGAGCTATTAAAGTATAGATTGTAACACAAGCTAAAGTGATGAAATAAGCAATCACTTTAAATAAAAACTGAAAATATATTTTAACACTGGAAAAGCATCTACTAAATTTAATTATTCATTATGTGCCAGTTTTTCCAGGCATTGAAGTGTCAGTGAAACCTTGTATTGTAATAAAAATACATAAATGTTAACATTAAGTTTTCGTGATCGAGTAGACCACTGGAGCATAACATCTCTTTTGTTCCTGAAGAAGGAGCTTGTACATAACCATTTCATGGAGCAGAAGTTATCCTTTTATTCCTGTCCTATAATAGACCCCTATGAAGTGTGTGCTCTGCAGGTGATGATATCTCCTTCTCTATTTAAAGGAGCTATTAGGTGTCCAGGATTGAGAATAAGTGGGTTTTAACTGGAGGAGAAAATTCTTGTCTAGCCACAAAGTGGGCAGCAGAAACCCAGCCTTCAGGTCAGCATCACTTCTAACATAACACCCAGCTGATCTTCCCACTAACATTGGAGATATGGAAGGAAAGCTGTGAAAATGCACATTTCTGTCTTCTATTCAGAGCAGGAAGCACTTGACGTGTGAGAGTAACTGAGTGACAAGGCCATGTTATAACAGCATTACTGTGACACCTGTGTCCCAACACACAGAGACCACAGTCCATACTCTGGTATTGTGTCCCCTCTGTGTGGAGTCTCAGAAGAGAACAGCTCTCCAGCTGGCTCAGAGCTGCTGTCTATCTCAGGTGGCTCCTAGTTCCTCCAAGGTTTGTCACAGGCCTGGTGCTGCCATTGGCAGCTTGTGCTCTGCCTTCCCCAGGGCTACTTGCTCTATATTTTTCTCTTAATCCCCTGCAAGTCTGTGTCAGATGGGAAGAGAATTCACATGCCACAGAAAAAAGACTGAACACCATCCGGCATATGGCATCACTGGAGATGGAGCAGCAGCCTGGTGCAGGATTGGGGGACAGTGGGGCAATCCTAAATATTTTTTTTAACAAATTGGCATGGAGTGTAGTCTAGTCAGGATCTCAGATCCATCAAAAATCACAGCTTGGCTTACTGGAATTTCTTCCTACTCGTTTGAAAGGGTTGTGAACCTCTACAAAGTTGGCCCAGGTTCCATCCTGGCAATGAAACAAATTTTCTCTGGTTTCATTACAGAAATGTTTCCCACCTCTAGCGACAGAAAGCACAAAATACAGAGATTTAGTAGACTCACCACAGTAATAATGGCTGTGCACAACAGGGTAAATCCAATGAACAATGTGCTTTATTTGGCAGAAGTGCGTCAGCTGGTTGTAAGTGGCTCTAGCAAAATACTTTTGGTCTCCTCAGATACTTATCATTTTTAACTGCTCCCAGACCTAATCTAGTATAGTTCAGCTCTTCTGTACAATAAAGACACTGTGGCAAGTCAGGTAACCAGGATGTTCTGAGACTTAAAAATAAAGCATTTGTGCATTAGGACATGCTTAAACTCTAACCCATAAGCTGGGTAAAAAGCTACAAGCTGCCAAATCAATGTGATCTCCAGCTCTGGAAAAAGAGTATATTGCAGGAGCCTGTTGTTGAGCACAGGTAATAGCAGGGCACTGCTGGAAAATCTGCAGCAAAAGCTGTTGCCATTGATGCCTTCCAGCCCAAGGCTGTGCTGTCGTGTCAGTCTGTCCTGCAGCACCTTGAGGTGCCAGCAGGTCTGTGCCCAGGCAGGGCCATTGACAGTGGCCTTTAAAGCCAAGAGGCCAAGCCCTTCTGTCCTGGGCTTTGGATCAGGCTCAGTGACTGAGCTTGATGCTGTTGCACAGCATGAGGCATCTACAGCTGCATGTCCAGGGAGGGGTTGCAACATCCCTGTCTGGAGAGTTTTGGTCTCTTTGCTTCATGCAGAGAGTGCCAGGAGTGTCTTGGCCCTGCATCTCAAGTGTATTCCACAGCAAATAGAATGCTTTTGTTTAGGCAAGTGCTTCCAAATGGGTGAATGAAATTACATCCAGCTGGAGCTGGTCACCAGTGATGTTCCCCAGGGCTTGGTACTGTTTCATATCTTTATTGATGATCTGAAGCCCCCTTGGTCTTGAAGGGGATTGAGGGTACCCTCAGTCAGTTTGTGGATGACACCAACTTGGGCAGGAGGGTAGCTTTTTTTATTTCTCCCAAGTAACGATTGATGAGACAATAGCCTCAAGTAGTACCAAGGGAGGTTCAGATTGGAGATTAGGAATCATTTCTTCACCAAAAGGGTCATCAAACACTGGAATAGGCTGCCCAGGGACTTGGTTGAGTTGCCTTCCGTGGAGGTATTTGAAAGTGTCCTGATGTCAACATGGCGTGTGGGGACATGGGCTACTGGTGGACTTGATAGTTTTGGATTAGCTGTTTGACTCAATGATCTTAAAGGTATTTTCCAACCTGAGCAAATCCAGGATCCTATGTATTTTCAAAGAGAATAGCTGTTCTGTGAGCATTCAGCACTACACAGCTCTAAACAAGAGCGTGCTGCGCTGACCGCTGCACTGCCTGCAGCCAGCAGGTGATTCCTAATTGATGGTGTTAGAATTAAAGGAAAATCTATATTAGAACATTAGTGCCTCACTAAGTAGGTAACTTAAAACACTGCGCTGTGCAGAACTGTGTGGATGAACTGTAGGCAATTAGAACAAATCTCCATAGCCTTAAAGAATCCTATGGAGATATTCATAATCCTACAGTACCCTCAGGTCCTAATACTGCTCTGCAGGGTGCTTTTAAGCCTTGCTCTTTACTTATTGTGGTGACTGTTTTTGGAGCAAACTGTCATTGTGGTTTCCAGAAAATACTTTGATAATAAGCCAATATTGTACATTGAGTGTTTTCTAACTGCCATTGCAGCTTCTGGCAGTAGGTAGAAAAATCATTACAGCTATGAGATGCTTCTTTCTCTGAAAGATTGCTCTATTTTTATGATGGATTTTTTTTTTAAATAACAGATTCATTTAAAGGGTGAATTAAATCCCTTTTTATTTTCAGTTATTCCCAGTTTATAAGCTGTCCTTTCTCATGCAGTCAGGAGGTACCAGTGCACGCTCCCCCTTTACTGGGGTGCGGAGTTAACTTTTCAAGTGCATTTAGGATGGCAGCGAAGTGGGGGGTGTGAGGGGCACTGACTCTCTCTCTGCCTCTTTCAGGAGCACAGAAACCCCCTCGCCCATGTCCCTGAGCCCGTCCCCCGTCAGCTCTGCTGGGAGCAGCTCGGGCACCGCCGGCTCTTCCTCGGTGGGGACCATCACCATCCCCCAGCGCATCCACCACATGGCTGCCAGCCACGTCAACATCACCAACAACGTCCTGCGCAGCTACGAGCACTGGGACATGGCTGACAAGCTGACCAAGGAGAACAAAGGTACTGCCCTCTCTGCTTTCTGTGTCCCCTTTGGCTCCCCAGCTTTAACTTTCGCTGTGCTCTCTGGATCTGGACCCAGAACCAGTGCATCTAAGAGCACAACTGTGACAGCTTGAGCAAACAGACCAAATCTGCTTGCTGGTCGCTGTAGCCAATGCGTATCTTCTCTTGTCAGGCACAGAGGGGGATGTGTAACACACGCTGAACATGGGGCTATCAGAGCAGCTGGCAAATAATTTAGTGAACACAAGCCCCAAGTGATGAGAGCTTTTAAGTCTGCAAATTCGTTCACAGTTTCAGCCTCTCACAGAGCACTGAGGTTATTTTCAGATTGCTCTGTCAATGGGTTTAAGACGATTAAAATGCTAGCTAGGATAATAAGCAAACACTAGATGTTATGTTTATGTGGGGAGTCCGATTAGGAGATGTCCACTGAAAGCCATGACCTTGACTCTCCTATGACTGGGTTGCAGATCTGTTTGTTTATTCCTAACAACAAAATGTAAGTCTTTACCATAGTCATTTCAAAGGAATTTTGTCAAGCAGTTTGTGACTGGATTGTATGAAGTATAGTGGAATGACTGAGATATAACTGAGGGACAAATTTGGCCTGCTGTTGGCCAGCTGTGAACTTCCCCATGACAATGTAATTATTCAGATTCTAGCTTTGGGCTTACACAAATCACTAAGAAAGCTTCCTTTGACACTAGAGGTACAGAACCTAACTAGGAAATAGTCTCATCATCAATTGGCTCATTCTCTTAAATTATAGTGAGGTTTCAGATGGCCGACTTGTCCTGACAAATGTGCTTGCTGTATGCAGTTTGATCTTACTCCCATTAATGTCAGTGGCAAATTTCCACTGATTTAGAGAAACTGAGCTTGAGATTTATAGAGTTTTATGTCTGAATGGTGGGTCATAATGATCCATCCCTGGATGAGGAACAATAATAGAAGTTCTGTCCAGTCCTCCCCACTGCTTCTTGTCTTTGTTCACATTGATTAATTTAGTAGCAGCACAGTCATTTTGGATTTTTTCCATAGCTGCATCCATTTTCACAAAATGTGAAAGCGATTCCCTGTCAAATGTAATGCAGAATGTTACAGTGGGAATGCAGAAGGATGCCCTGATAGGAGGAAGAGATGGTGATAATCTTGTAATTAGCCCTGTGTGTTGTGGAGTTGTTAAATGTTCTACTTGGTATTAAATCAAAATAGCTCAGGCATTCAGCCAGCAGACAGAAAATGTACCCAGCCACTGCTGTTATCAGTCCTAGAGTTGGATGAGAAAAAAACTGCTGATTCTCTTTCTGCATTTTCCTCCCTACTCTCTTCTTTGTTCTCATTTTGATTTATGATCAAATAAACCCAATTCTGCAAAGCCATATAGGAATACTCTTTATTCAGATGAGCAGTCCCTCTGACTTTACTGGGACTGGATGCATGAATAAGGGTTCCTCACATGAGCAAGGCATTTAAGGTTGTGACCTGTTCTTTCATATCTTGTTTCACAACCTGCAGACACATTACAGGGAATGCAAAGTTCATGTTACTTCAATTTTCATTTAAGTATTGTAAACCATTGGAGAGAGATCAGAGTTTCCTACATGCTGTAGCATGTCTGCCTTTATATATTTTCTGGAAAGATACCTCATTTCTAATTAAGTGCTTGATTTAAAGTTGGATGTTTAAACACAAACTGCAATTTGAAAAATTCATGGTTTAGCAAAAAGTATATGAGAACTGTTGTAGTACTCTGCAGGTCTCCATCACACCACATGAGAGATTCTCTTTAAAAAAGGATGTATTCAAGACACTTTGACGTGAGAAATGGTGCAGTGTTTCATGAAAACTGGCTGTAATTGTTTCACTAGATGTCATCTGCACCTCTCAAATAATTCAAAGCACCCTTATCTGGTTGTCTGGAACAGGACTCACCACTTTCTCCAGTCCACCTTTGCCATCTGTCTCAGCTTTGCTGCACTGCCCAAGCTCTGCTGCACTGGCTTGTGGACTGGGGGTTCAAAACTGCCCCATGACAGCAAACAGGACAGTGGAAACCCCAGACTCTGCAGTGAGTTCCAGGTGATCATTTGGGCTCTCTCTCAGAAGATTGGGCAGTCAGTTCATTATGAAAAATGAGATTTTCCCCCCTCCCATTGAAATAAGAATGATGTCAAAACCAAAAAACCCACACACCTACAAAGAATCCATGATAAGATAATAATTTAGTTCCTTAAAAAAAAAAAAAGAACAAAACCAAACCTGACCAGATTCAGTCACTTTGGTGGGTTTTTTGTGGTCAGCTCTAATTGTTTCTGTTGTCTTCTGAATCACAGGGTGTGTCTTGCTTAAGAATATGTCCTTGATGATCTGTCCTGAGATGTGACCTAATAGCAATTACCTCTGGGTCTTACTGCTGTCATAAATGTTTCTTAGGTCATGTCCATACAATCACAAGGAATTTCCTCCGCACTGTAGGAGATGTGCACCTTAGATTTTGTGCTTCTCTGAGTCTGCCTGCACGCCCCCAGTTTGAACTTGACTCGTGTTCAGCTGGCTCAGAGCAGCAGACAGAAGCCTTTCTTTGTCAGCCTGACAAAAGATGTGCCATTGAAATAAAAATGCATAGCAAAAGGGAGAGCAGCAGAACTGTGACCTGCCAAGCTGATCTGGTTTGAAAATGAAAGCAGGAACATACTGCCATGTACCTCTGGTGGAATTTCCCCTGGTCCACAGAGTTGAGAGTATGGGGAGAATAGATGTAGTTTGGCATAAATCTGTGTCTGTAGCAGGCCAAAGTAAACTGCAGATTTCCCAAGCCCATGGGATGATTTGTGTTGGATCACCTAAAGTGGTGTTGTTCACCATCTATAACATCAAACTCTCAGCTGACTTCACAAGATCGGATCTTTTTTTTATGCTTCTGAAGAAAGCAGGACTTCTTCTCTACAGTAGAAAACTACCAGCTCTGTAGGGAGCAAGACCTGTTCTCTCACGCATAAATTTTTTAAGTGGCTTCAGTGCTTGTAGCTTTTTCCAGAAATATTAACCCAAAATTAGGCTTTAAGGTGAATTCTCAGTGTTTAAAGCAATTACTCTTTATTTGAGCCTAGAATGAGATCTCTAGAATTCAAGCAAGATAGTGCACTATTTCATCAAAATGTATTGATTATACACTGGAGGAGATGAATGAAAGACAGAGAAAGGAAGATTAAAAGTAGCTGCTTGCTGCAGCATCTCAACAGCACTGGTGCTAGCCCTGAGCTCTCATTATGCTTGCCTCCAGCCAAATCACTTTGTGCTCTGATACTGCTGTAGCTCCCAAGCTGACCAGGGTCAGGCTGTCAATACTTGGATAGAAGACCTCAAAGCAGCACTTACTCGCTGAAGAAAGTACTGATAATGATTTTGTACCCAGCATCTGCTTTCTTGAAGTGCAGCCAATGCAGTGCTGGCTGGCTCAGTGCACTGGATTGCAGACAGGGTGAGAATGTGAGGGCTCAGCCATTCCTTTCTGTGACTGTTGGTTGTTATCTGAGCTCTGAGGGGCTTTAACTGAGAGCGGGTTCCCACTTGCCTAAATATAGTGCAAGTGTTGTATGTGTGGGAATGGCTGTGCCCCAGCGAGCATAAAGAACTGTGGGAGAATACAGGACACAATTCAGTTCTCCATTGACAGCAATTAGGAAAGGTCTGTTGGCCCTAACAGGATTAGTCTTTCACCCAGAGAGCATCTAACACATGACATAAAGTAAACTGGTGTGTCACTTCCTAACTGGGGCTCTCTGTTTAGTGACCTCCTGTTAACCCTTCCCAACCAGGAATCCCAGGGCTGGGATTGTTCCCCCTTAGAGGTTCCCGTTCTCCAAGGAGTTACTTTCCTCCTGTGTTGTCTGTCTGCTCTTCCTCCCTGGCTCCCACCCCACACTCATCCTCTGGGGTCTGCAGCTGCAGCAGAGTGAGCAGAGGGCCAAAAGTGCTGCAATGTCAGCAACAGAAATGAGAGGGTGGGCAAAAGAGCAAGAAAGGTCTTCTAATCTGGAAAGATCCAGTCTAGCCCTTCATGTCTGGGAAAGAGTACAGCATGGAAAGGTAATGTAAGATTTCATTTCCAGCTATTTAAATCATACAGTCAGCAAATGTAATCTTGAAAAACTGACAGCGCAGATGATCAGAGTTAAAGTCAGACTACTGGCAACCACTCATACCATCCTGTGGTAGACTTCCAGCATGGATAATCTAATTTGGTTTGTCTCAATATATTGTTGTCATTTAAATTCTGTCTTATTCACCATATGCTCATGTGCACAACTGTCTTTAGAACTCACCAATTGCACTGTGCTGCTTCTGAGTGGGAAATCATGGTGATACCTCTTATTTCTGTACCACTGCCTGAGAAATTGCTTCTGTTTCTTGTGTATTGCAGAGTTCTTTGTAGAGCTGGACTCAGTGATGGGACCCTTAACACAACACAGCAGTATGACCAATCTGGTTCGTTACGTTCGCCAGGGACTCCACTGGCTCCGCATTGAGGCTCATTTGTTGTAGTGACTGCTGCCCTGTTCATGACATCCCCATTCTTCTACCTCTACCAGCGCAGAGACGATCACTGGTGGAACTCCACTCATTTTTGGAAGTTTATTCATGTAACTTCATTTTTATTGCCTTTTTTAATATCCTATCTATTGGAAGTAGAAGTCACCATAAATGAAACTTATGACTCAAGAGCAGTATGTGTTGTACCATCTAATCATCTTTGACAATTTTCTATGCCTTGTGTCTCCTGGATCCTGCCATCCTTATGTGCTTTATGGAACGGTACATTCCCTGCAGTGTTGTTTTAAGTCCATGCTGCCTTCAAGTGAAAACAAAAAAAAGCACTTTGAGAAGATATGGATTCCTGAGAAATAGTACAAAGCGTCTTAAATATTTGAGGGTATGAGAAGTCCCTTCTGAAATAAATTAGTAGAAGTTATAGCTATTCACTCAAAATCATCTTCTGAACCTGAACCAAGCTTTTCGACGCTTAATTCTGGCATCATTACCTGACTCAGTACATTCCTAAGATTTCATACTCCCTATGGGTTTAATCTCTAAAAGAGAATGTTGAATATCTTACAGGTACATAATGTAAGATCACCAAAGGTGTTAAGAGGTAAAAGGTTGAAGGAATGCCTCATTAAAGAATGATGACACACTATGCAATGAGGTTTTGATATTCCATTCTTCCTGTTTATTGTTGGCTTAATAATTTCAATAGGCAGCAAAATTTCTTGCAGTTTTTAGGCAGTTTCAAAATATTAGCTTTCTTAGTCTTATCTACCATTCCTATACTAGATCTGTGAATTTTCTTTCTGTTTTACTGTTTAGTCTCAAACAAATACCTATCCAAGATTTTTTTTCATAGAACAATCTCTCCTTGCATAGTGACTCACTGAAAGCAGATTTTAACAGGACTGCTGCACTCTAAGCATTGATATTGTATGTAAAAGTCCATTAATAAGTGTATGCAGATTCTTCATTAACTATCTAGAAGTTTAACTAACCAGCTACTGTTGAAACATTATAATTCCATGTGGCATCAATTTTCACCTGTTTTGTTCATTTCATAGCGTTAGAAACGAACAGTATTATCTTGCTATCTTGAAAACAATGTCAAATTAAATAAAATCACCAGATTTACCCAAAAGCAATATAACATTTGTTTAATAATGGCCATGAATACTTCAGTCAGATTACCTTTTCTCCAAGCTCTGCATCTCTTTACCCATGCTGTCATGTTTTGGACCATTCCTCTAATGCGTGAATAATAATGAGACAATTCAGATAGAATTTCAAAGCAATTGTGAATAAACTGCACCATTTCACATTTGCTCTTTCCTCTTATTTTTTTCCCCGTTATAAACTGCACTGCTCTTCTGGAGCCACTGAAAGAAGCGCTGGTGCATGAAACAAAACAAAATGAATTTATATCAATAATTCACAAGACTTTAAATGGTCTCATCTCATTCTTGATATAACGCCTGCATACCTTACTGAACTGTAAATTCCATTTCTATAAACAGAAAATCCTCATAGCAATGTAAATATTATTCTGTCTCATCTCATTGAAATAATACAATATGTGTATTAAATGCCATCCAGATATTAGTTAATTGCAATTACCTTCTGCTTTATAAACCTGTATATTCTTTAATCTGGTGAGTTATTGGATTCTACTCACTGGGTTGTGACCAGATAAATAGGACAAATTTGCATTTAAAAGGTTCAGACTGTTAAGATTTTTAGAGCAGGCCTTGGATATTTGCAATAAGAGCAGTTTAAGGACTCTGCCCAGTGCACATTTAAGACAAACATTTCTGTAGCTGTTGCATATTAGCTCCCTGTAGTAGTACTTTTTCTTAAAAATCAATAATTCCTAACATTTTATTCCACAAAACTGTATTGTAAACACAGCCAACATGCATCATTAGAGAAATCATCCAGTGTAGGGTTTTCTGCAAAGGACATTTGCAGAACATGTCCATCCTGTATTATCTGCACATTCCTGTTCCTAAAGTGTTTGATTCACCCTTATCTGTTCTCTGAGGGTTTCAGTAACAGAGATGAAACCTGAATCTGACACATTGGTCACGCCAACTCTGGCCCCAGCAGCTAATGAATAAAACCAGTGAGAACTATTCAGAAATGTAGATGAATGGTGGTGGTCGGTGTTTTTTTAAAGAAAAAGAAAATGAAAAATTTGAAATATTTTTTTTAACAGGTTGGGTACTTTAGATGGCCTAAGTTTGGGCTGGTTTTGTCATAAGCCAGAGTTTTCCATTCTTTTTGCAAGTAACTATTCAGTCTAATGAAGTGCATTGTCATCACTTGCTCCTTTAATGTAGATTGAAATCCAAGACTTCCATGCATTTACAAGGAATAGCAATGTCTTGAAAGACAGTCTTCAGGCACAGAACTCTTCAGAGTTTGCTGCAGTCGCTCAGTGATCACCACATATTATCTTTTTCCTGTTGCTTGTGGTAAACAGGTTCCTATCTCTAAATTTACCCCATGTTCACAGTCTTTTGCTTGAACAGCTTAAGGAATTAGCCCTCCTGAGTTTGTATCCTGTGACTGAGGTTGAAATGTATGTTGAATCAATGGCATGATGATAATAAGTCCAGCAGTCAAGTGTAGGATCACAAGCCAACTTACTGTTTAGCAGTCTTGTTTCAAAAGCAGCTTAGAAACAAATTAAATATGGAGAGTAAATTGCTGTCTTATCCCTGGGGATGATGCTTCTTTTGGGTTAGTTATTAAGGATTATTGCACTTTTACAGGCACTATATTCATCTCATTTAAATTGCCAACATGTCATCTTCGTGGAATCATTTTACCCCTTAAAATATTACTTCCAGCAGAGCTAATCAAATAAGATTGTTTGTTTGTTTCAGTCCATGGGGAAGCAGCATGTCTGTGCTTGGGCATTTGCAGTGTCTGCACTTAAAACTACCCAATTCAGGCTTTCTAACTCATTAACCGAGCACCAAAAATTACAAGATTGGCTTAAAATTGTAGTTTGGTTTTAGTTGTTTTTTTTTAAATAAACTCTTTGGTTCCTGTATTGCCTTCTGGATGGTGAGCTTTGGGATTGGTTTCATTACACATTTTCAGGCATTTTACAAGCATGCCAAGGGCTGGAACTGACACATTTCTTTTTAATGGTGATAAACTGGAACAGTGATAGAATCTCTTGACTTCTGTAGCTGGATTTAAGAAGGACACCGAGCTTTGTAGAACACTGCCAGAACTGACAAGACTGTCATCTGTGACCCATGCCTGAAAAGGTTTGGAGCAATATCAAGAGTTCAGCAGTGAAGGGAGCAGGCCTGTAAAGGACTAAGCTCAGGAATTTTGGGTGAAAGACCCAAGGGCAGCAAATTCCTAAATGCTCAAGAGAGGCATTTACATAGCACTTAACCTCCACTTCAAGGGCTGCAGCAGGTCTTAAGTATTTGACAATGTGCAGGCAGAATATCCAGCTCCAAGTGCAGTGAACATCTCCAGCCATGGGATGTGTGTTGGGTGCTCAAGAGCAGGGAGCTGAAGGAAAGCCTTTTACTGATCATGTTGGTGGAAATTTTCACAGCTTGCATTTTAATTTCACTTTTTCTTACATGTTCTTTGGACTTTCAATTATTGAAATATTCTCTCTGTGAAAAAAATTGCCTCATTTATAAATTATCTCCTTTGAAAAGTAGAGACAGATCTGTTGATAGTTATGTGGGAGATTTTAAAAAATAGGATTGGAGATCTTCATTCCTCCTAAAGAAACAAAATACACCAATTGAATCTGGAATTTAATTTCCATGCTTTTTTAAAATTCACAGATTTTATTATGGTCTTCTGTTATGATGGTTTATATTCACCGATGTTGTTAGGTACTTTAGAAAAAAACTGTTTCAGTGAGTTTTTATCAGCATTTAATGCTGTCTAAATCAAATTATTACTTTTGTGAGTGTAAATTAACAGATAACAAAAATGGGGCTGGTAGGGATTCTGACTTTAGTATTAACATACTTCATTACTTGGAGTTCAGGAGAAACTCAGTGCAGCATTGAAGCAAGCCCATGAGTGTGAGTGTGTGTACACATCTGTGTGGATTTATGTGTAGATTTGCAGCAGAAAGCTCCTGCTCATTACTTCATAGCACAGGAGAAAAGATATGGTAGCTGTGAACAGAAAACAGTCCTACCACTGCAAGTGGTAGTGGCATTATTCAAGTGTTCCTCTGCAGTTTGTGCATAGTCCTGTTTGCATCTACTGCCTCTTGCAGACAATGAAGTGTGCAGGAAGTAGCAACAACTCTGTCATTTTAGTCCTGTGGTCCCTAAAGTCAGTGTAAGAATGAATGTGCTGTGTAACTCATTTGCCATAGACCAGTGTCTTGAAGTTTTAAGAATGACAAAATATTTAACAAGTCACCAAAGAAAATTAAATTGCCATTCTGGAACAAGTGTAGAAGTGTCCCAGCTTTAGGCAGGCTGTAGACCAAGGGATCTTTGCAAAGGGCCTTTCCCTCTCAGCATCTCGCTGACCTCACCTGAATACACTGGGAGTGAGGCAAAGGGGATGAAGATGGAAAACTAATCTACTTGTTCTTATGACATCTTCCAGCTTTACTTTGCATGCTACTTTATAAATACAATATAAAAATATATAAACAAAAATATAAAAACAAATAAAACCTAATGCTGGGAGAGCTCAATTCCTCAGTTTCCAGTAATCCTCCTGAACTTCCATTATATAACCTGAGCACACCAGTGCATACAGGCATTCTCTGTTGTCTAAAAAGATATGTCTGTATGGGGGCATATTTTGGTTATATCACTTGATATTTAGCCTAAATTTATAGGCTAAAAGCTATTAGGGTCTCCTTCATTACTGAAACCTCTCTGCCACTGAATGCAAAACGTTCCTGCCTGACTTAAAGCAGTCATCTTCTCCCCAGTACCCTTGTCAGACCTGCCTTTCTGATGGACTTCATAGCTTTCCTTAAGCCATTTTGTTTTTGAGATGTTTTGTCTTCCAGGATCAGGGATTCTGATCATCTCACACCACTTTAAACCTCTTGTGGTCGCTGCTGAAGTCAGGATAGATTGCATTCAGATCTTGTGTTCAACTTGGGGGAGGATGTGGCTCTGTAGAGAGATGAGAGCCAATTCAGGTGCAGATGAGTTACTACATAAAACTGGTGTCACATGAAAATCAAACCTGGCCTCATCAGGAGGCACTGCAGCAGAAATACTGTGATGAAAAGCTGTTCCCAGAATCACAGGGTGTGTAGTGACATGTCAGGCAGCTCACTGGCACTGTAATGATATTAGGCAATGGTAAAAATGTCAAGAGTGGTTTAAAGAAATTGGGGCAAGCTGCTGTGGTCTGGCATTGTGAATTTAAGCTGAGTGTGCTTCTTGGGAAAGGGGATTTATTACTGTTGATGTGTCCTGCAAAATAATACCTATACCATGGTATCCTGTGAAATCAGAATACAGCACCACCACTCCCAATTCTTCAACGCACCTCAGAGTGCCACCTCATGTCACACAGAGGTAATTCTGGTCACCACCCTGAAGTCACCATCCAGTTAAACCATTATTTTTACTTTATTTTTACAAAGAAGCAAGGACCAAGCCCAAAGGCCCGGCAGCCACTGTGGGCAGCATTGTGTGACCTGATGTTGCTTCCCACAGGCTGTGGAGCCACAGGGAGTTCCTGAGCCCTCAGCCTGCTCTGGGTGTTGGACTACTGCAGGTCTGGGTGGTTGGAGCCCCACACAGCCCTGCCCACTGTGCTGGGGGAGCAGTGCCGTGCCCAGGAGGGCCGAGGGACCCCAGCCCCACTGCCTGGGTGAGCAGAGCTGTGGCTCTGCATCGCTTTCGGGTCTTTGTCTCTGCAGCTGCAGGTGGACTGGGATGGGAGCACTCATTTGCACTTGCACTGCATCTGGAAATGCCAGTCAAGCTGACAGGAGCCATGCACACGGTGACAGCGTAGAACTCAGTCCATATCCACTGAACACAGATTTAATTTAATTTGTGGAATTTAATTCTTGGTGTCCACAGGACCACTCGTGTTTACAGGACTCCAACTGAGTCCCACTGATGCCAGTCTAAAAAGTCATGTGAGTGGACAATGCAGCTGTTTGAGGCTTGTTTTCTTCTTTGATTTTAACTGAGTTACTCTATCTGCAAGTTTCATAAGCTCTCTGTGCTAGATATAAATTTACTCACAGCTGTGTGAGTGTCACCCTATTGTAATACCATTGAAAGACCCTTCAAGTATAGATAGCCCTAATTTCCACTCCGTTATCTTCTCAGAATTCAAAGGAAGGTCAGATTCTGAGGTGAATTTAATTGTTTTATTGAACAGCAGTAGCTACAGTGGACCAAAATTTGAGCTTAGCAAATGTAAAGTAACTTGGCTCAACTGGTGGAATTCATGGGACCAAATTCTTCTGTCATGTGGCATTAGTGCAAGTCTTACAGAGCTTAATGGCATAGCCTTACTGGAGTTGTGTGTATTAGGCCAGAACTTAAGTTGCATAAACCCAATTAATTGAATGGAATTCCATCCATTTTTGTTCTGGCTGGGCACTCATCTCAGTGAAAGTAGTTCAAGGTCTGCGTACTAGAGCTGGAATAACTGCAAGCAGATTTGCTCTTCAACCAGACCATGTGTTGACTCAGCCCTGGCCCAGGGAAACCACCACTGACTTCATGACAAGTAACAATGGCGTGGACACGGCAAAGCTTTGACCCACTGGCAGGAGACATTTACCCTTGAATTTATGAAAGAACTGGATTGTGAACAGCAACACAAATGTTTTATTGATAACAGAGGTAGAGTACAAGTTCTTCAGTTGCTCTAAACTGGTAAAGGAGTACTGATTTTAGTGGAGTTCATCCAATATGCACACACCAAGGAGCAAACCCTCTAATCCCAGACTAATTTTTGCCAGTTTGTCTCTATGCAGATAGACTCCCAAACCTTTTATCATCATGCCTTTTTACTGATCATGGCACTGAAATAATTAACATACCATAATCCTTGCTTGTGAAGAAGTAGTGTACTTTGCAAAGCTATGCCGTGTACAGCACGTCATAAAACTGCTTTAGACCACAAGTCTAGAGATTTTGTTTTCAGAAACGAGACGAGCAGAGCATCTTCTGATCTGATGTCGATTACACCTCACTCTGCACTTTTCATACAGAGTGATGGCTGCATGTTTCTGATGACTGTGGGCCAAAGCTTCAGCTGATGTGCCTCTAAGTAGCTCTGTGGATGCCAGTGCTGTTTTACACCAGCTGAAAAACCAGTCCTCTCCCTTTTCACACTGTGCTGCATGCCCTAATGCAGCTCTATAAATGCACACTGAGGCTGAGCATATATTGAACTATTCCAATTCAGTACTAGATAATCCCTGCCAAAAAAAATGGAGGGTAATTTCTGCTTGCCATCTAGGCTTGCATATGTTTTGGGTTTAACTAAAGGCATGTTGCAATTTCATTACCTACCAGTTTAAATATTTACTGGCATCAGCATTAGCTTGCATAGAAAAATGGCAAATAAATTCAGACATGTCATAAATGCTCTCAGTCTAGAGACGGAATCTGTTACTTTAGCTCAAAGACATTGCAGCAGGCTAAAGTGTTTTTTCTAAGCCAGTTGGGTTCTGTACATTTAGAAGTCATGGCAAATATTTATCTAGGCCCAATTCTGCTATTCTTCCCCTGAGCATCCTGGTTGGAAGGTTGCTCCACTGAAGTCCACAGCAGTAACTGTGTGAATTGGTGCTCAGCACACAGATTGCAGAAGCAGGCACTGAATATGTTAGGTTGCTGCAATCAGGAGTTTAATTTTAGCCATATGTATCATTTGAGGACACTTAAAAATTATGTACATTTTATCCAAGATGACAGTCCTTGTATTTCCATAAAATATTGTATAACTTATTCCTGTCTGTATTTTTGACATCTCTGGATTGCATATCTTCTACTGAATCTTAAATTCTGTTTTTTTTTAAATCCACATTCAAAAGGTCTAGGACATACCATCACAGAATATAAAAACAAGTCAAAGATCTGGTGATGTTTTGCTTTGGTTTTGAGCTCTCCTTCAGTTTGTGTTTTGGCTTGGCTGTGGCACTCCCAGAATTTTTGGAATGGCTCAACTCAATTCAAGTTTCTTCCTGTCTTTTAGGGGAAAAAAAAGCAAAATACAACTAAGGTTCAGGAAAAGCAATCCCGGCAAACTTGGTGGCTGTTTGCTCTTTCTAGCTGTCCTGATTTTTTAACCCTGCCATGTTGGGAGTAGTCTAGTCTGTGGGTTCTCTCACCCACCATTTCTGGCTGTTGTGACAAATACTATTTTTTTGCTTTTTTCTTTTCTTTTGTGTGTGTGTGTGCGTGCGCATGTATAATTAACCAAAATATCAGGAAAATTTATATATGCTTTCTTCTGGTTCCTGGAAATAGAGCAACATTATGACCTTATGGTCTTCCAGCAAAAGTCAGATTTAATTTCTGCATTGCAGTGCAACTTAATTAGCTATTGGAATTTGATTATGGTTTACTAAATGGCCTTTTACCTTACGTTCTTATGTTCTTACTTTTTATTTACTATTGAAGTAGCCTCTTCTTTTTCTCATTTGTGCAAGTATCATATCAATAATCATTGCAATTCCACAAGGTGTCTTTGTTCTGAACAAGCATGTTATTCTTGTAAAGTTTTAAGTATAAGTTAAGATGTTTTGTACAGACCAAGGTAACTGTTAAACTGTCAAGCAATTACTGAAATGTTGTATAGTTATAAAAGTTTGATTTCTTTTGCTTTATATGTATAAAATTGTATCTTGCCTGTTTTGCTTTGTATTTCCAACGTGTTGCACAATTATGCATTTTGTTTACATTTGTTCCTTCTTCAGAAAAAAAAAGAAATAACAGTAATACTTTATGTACAAACATTTTAAATGTACTTTTGTTGTTTTTAAACACAATGTCTCTGTATAAATAATATTGGTTGAACTGGTACATTCGTGTCTCTCATAGAGGGATTAATTATACTGCCAGTGCATTGAATTATTTAAAAAAAAAGTAAAATAAAATTTTTATGAAAATGTAACCCATTTTATCACTATAAATTATTCTGTCTTCTGCTATTTTCTCATTCTCCTCCCAGGACAGAATAAGCATGGTACAGTAAGTACTGTTTGTGGGAGAGCCATCATTGGCTTTAATTTTTAATCAATGTGTTTGTGCCATCGCGGCAACTTAAAATGACTTGATGTTAGGAAATAATGTAGTGCTGATACCAGCTGTGAGGGAGCAGATCAATAATGTGCTTTCCCCATCCCTGAGGGGCCTCAGCTGCATACAGCAGCCCGAATGGCGTCTGTCCCCGAGGCAGCCCCGAGAGCAGAGGGATGGCAAGGAGGGTTTGCACAAGCCGTGCTGGCCCCACTGCCCCTCTGCTGGGGCGCCTTGCTCCCGGCGTGGCAGAGCTGGGAGCGCCTCGAGTTGCAGCATGGCTGCAGAAATGGCTCTGGGAGGCTGGGCCACGCGTGCCGGCTGAGAGGAGACGTGAGGAGCTCCCGGAGAGGCAGAGCAGCGCCGGGCCACGCTCCGAGCTCCTGCTGCTGCTCCCGGGGCAAGGGAGGCCGAGGTGCCTCTCTCTCCCCAGAGAGTCCATCTCGGGCTGCTGCCTCCAGGCTGAAGAAGCCATTGCTGTGCTTTGCTGTGTGGTTCACAGTCCTGCTGGAAACATTTCCATCTCAGCCTGGAGAGTCGCGTGCTCCGCAGCTGCTGGAGGAGGGCACGGCTGGGAGGAAGCTGGTGGGGACATCTCATCCCAGCCAGTGCTGGGGAGGGGGTGGTGAGCCCAGGGTGTGGATGGTGTCACAGAATTCCCGGAGAGCCACACCAGTGGTGTTAGTCTGGATTCGGGGCTGTTGTAATGTCCCTCTTAGAACAAAGGACCAGTAGCTGGTATCTTCCAACTTCTCAGCACGACTCTGACCTCATGAAGCAGATTAAAGCTCTCTGGTCTGACCAGACAAGGTTTTGCAGTTCATCATCCCACTTGTGTGAATAGTTACCTGTAAAATGGGTGCTGGAGCCCCAGTCTTTGTTAGGCATAAGTCACTTCAGAGGGAAATCTGGAATGGAGTGTTTGGAGCACACTGTGTGTCGTGGGTGCCTATGTTGTGTCCAAGGAGACAGAAAACATCCTCTGTGGATATTTCAGAGAGACGTCTTTTGGGTCAGCAGAAGGGAGGGCAGGTCTGATGCTTCGTGTGCCATTCACTCCTCCCTGAGTTCTTTTCATCTTCTGGGTGTGCCCAGAAACCTGCTTGAAGCTTGACTTCAGACTGGCAGTTCATGTCATTCCCTGCATGTGTAACCTTGTAATCAGCTGTGAAGTGTTCTGTGATCCCAGCTATGAATGATGAATGGCTCCACATAAACCTTGCTATACAGCACTCTTAGTGTGACTACTCAATTCAGAAAAAAAACAACAAAACCTCTGGAAATAAAAAAGGGATAATTATTCATACAGCCAGTACATGGGATTCCCACAGGAGTAAAAGATGCCACCTTGCTGAGCAGGGCTAGAAATGTCTCCTCCAAGTATGGCAATGTCAGGGACAATGGAAGATGGGTATTTGGATGCTCATTTTCATACCCAATTTCACAACAACCTCAGGCAAGGTACTGTGTGCTCTGTTCCACAGCCAAGGAGACATCCTCCCTCCCTCCCTCCCTCCCTCCCTAGCTGGGGCTGAGGCAATGGAGCAGGATGTTCATAAGAGCTACAAAAGGCTCGAGTGAGAGAAGGAAGCACTAAAGTTTGGCAGCCAGTTCAGATGATTTAACTGCACAACAGCCTCAGGAACGAGTTTGGTCCATGACAAGCTGCTCTAGAACACGGGATGTTTCATTGCCAGAATGAAATATGAAGAGCTTTTGAAGCCTTATTTATATCTAAAAAGTCAGGCTGGAGCTTCCCGTGGTCTGTAGAGCTAAGGAGTAGAAAGCACAGCCCAAATACCATCACTCCTTGGCCCCTCCCACACACATGGTCCAGAAAGAAAGCAATGCAGCATCAACTCTACATAACAGGGAGGAATTTAACTTACCAGCTGCATTTCAAAGTGATTTTAGATATCTTTTTATTGAAAAAAGCACATGTGCATGGGGGGATTTTTCCCTCCATACTGTGTCCATACGTTTGGAAGGACTTTATTATGGCTAATGTAAATGTGTTCAACAAACCACACATCAAGTTAATGTTAAGCAAAATTTTCTTGTCATATGAGCTACAGAAGAGCCCCTCTTGGTATTTTTTTAGGCGTGTGTAGGCTGGCCTTGTGAAAGACATGTGTTTTCTCTTTTAGAGACCTCTGTACCTATGGACACATGAGACACGTGAGACCAGCCAAACACAAGACATGAGTTAGTACATCACACCTCAGGCACTGGATTGCAGAAGATACTCTCTGGAATCATAGAATCATAGAATCAGCTGAGTAAGAAGGAACCCATCAGGATCATCAAATTCCAACTCTACCTATTTGTAGGATTATTTACTCAAGAAGTTACATTTGTGAAAGGCAAATCTGAGTTTAAAAAGTAAAACAAATACCGAACAGCCACCCTGCCACCTCCACCATTTACTCCTCATTTCTCAGCCAGCTCCAAGCACACGGGGTTCACCCTTTTGCAGGGGGTGCTGTGAGAAATAGGTAAGGCTGGAAGTGATAAAGCCATTCAAAAAATGCTCCATTTTCTGCTAAGAGAGCTGAGTCATCTGGCCAGAGTACCAGGGTGCCAGCTTCCCTCTCAGACTCAGCATGCCAGCTCTAATCTGCAGGGGGAGTGAAGTCCTCAAATGACTGCTGCATTGGAAGGGCAATTCCCAGCTGTGGCAGGGGTTGCTGGAAAAGTCAGCACACCCTGAATATCCCTTCGTGTTCATCCTAGGCTTTAACTCTCCATTCCAAATAATTTCATCCTTAGAGAGGTGTAACAGAGACCAAATTCTGCATCACCTTTTTCTTTTTAGGATTTGTTTTGAATTTTGATTTTGGGGGGGCATTGTGTGTGTGTGGTTTGGGGTTTTTTTCCTTGCAACTCTACATTCACTGACTATCAAGCAGGAGCTAAATAAAAAGGCTTCAAGCCATCAATTTAAGAGCAATCACCTATGTGTTCAGGATATGCTGGCAGGGAGTTATCTGCAGTGAGAAGCTGCTTGCCAATCATTCTTGTGAAACTCCATTGGTTTTATCTGTACCTGGAAATGGGTGCGACTCATTCAGCTCAGCACAGCACAGTCTGCGAGCTGATTAGCCAAGAGAAGCCTCCTCCAGACCTCCAGATGGGTGTCCAGGGCATTCCCAGTGCCCCAGACCCCACCCAGCGCTGCCAAAGCCCTGAGCCTGAGCTGCTGTTCCTGAGTGTCCCCCTGCCTGGTTCCACACACCCACATTTGGGGGCAGGAAATTTGCCCCAGGGGAGCACAAGGGCTGCAAAATCTTGACTGTGACTGGACATGTCAGAGGGGAGGAGCAATATGGCTGGGAAACTGACACTGGCATTGAAAGACCATAGAGGACCTTGAAGGAAAATACTTTCAAATTAAATATTCCCCAGCCAAGATGACATTATGTCTCTGGCTTGGACCAGGCTTCAGTGAGCCTTTGCCAGCTTCAGGCAGAGAGATGAGTTTCTCCCCAAGGTCTCCTATGACTGAAGGTCACTTGGGTGTCCAGAGACTGGCTACAGACATTTTCACAGCAGGCTTTTTCCCACACTACTCAGATAAATCCCTTCTTGGCTCCATGGAGCTGGTACTGGCTCAAGGACAGACCCATATGCTCCAGTCTGCCCCAAAGTGATGGTGGTGAGGGACTGGCTTTGCAGATGGTCTAATTAGTTCTATTCCAGGCAGGTGAGACCTCCTTCAGTGCTCAGCATGGCAGATTACTCTGCCATTGGTGTCCTTGTCACCAGTGGCATTGAGAATATGCAGATCCCCATGACCAGGGGTGCCCCCATGGTTATCCCAGCAGCTGCTGCCTTGATGGAGGAAGGAAGCTTTGAACCAGGACTTACCAGGTAATTTGGTGGCCTGGTAAATACCAACTTTGGTATTCAAAAGTAGATTACCACAATGACTGAAAATCTATTCATTTATTAATCAGGTCACCTAATCTCACCACAGTGAGAGAGGCAGAGCCTGAGCCTAAGCCTAAATACAGGCTATTCCACACTAACTTAAAATGTCAAATCCCAGGGTAACTGAAAACAGACTTGGGCCTTCAGTTTTGTAAAACCAGCATGAAAAACAATGCAGCTGCATTGACCACTCAGGGTTTACACAGGCATAACTATGATTTCACTGTCAAAACTGGCATCTCCTGTGGTGAACGCTGGACTCTGGATCAACAAAAACGTCACCTCTGTGTCTCAGGGAGGCATTTCAATCTCAATCATCTCTGAACCAATAAATGGATAAAGCACATCTATGTTAATAATGAGGCACTGTGGGCCAGCACATAAAGCTGCTGGTGCCTGGCATGGGGCACGTGCCATGGGGCTGCCCATGTGCTGCCAGCCCATGCTCAGGCCCCAGCTCTCTAATTGCCTCAGCCAGTGCTATCAGCCCCCCAAAGTTGCTGTTTGTCTGAGATTTCAGGAGGGTAATTTATTACACTGAAGAGCCTGACTCTTCTCCCCCATCCATCTACATCCCCGGGTTACGTTGTTTATGTTAGCATAATCATTTCTCATGGACAATGTCAATAAATGCTGGAGACAAAAGGAACACCAACACCACCACCAACAAAAAGCCCAACTGCTAAATAATTCCTAGAATGAGTTGTCAGAAACCTTTTATTTACTGATTCCGTGCATTTCATTTATTCCTGGCAGTAGGCCAACCTCTCTGACAGTTAAGATTTATTGATTTAATTGCCTAGGGTAACCATGCAATAAAATCATCTCAAAGATAAATTTTCATGGCACTGTGCAGCATTGAAGTAATTTTTCAAGTGCTATGGCTATATTTCTGCAGGTTACAGGTGCAAAATTTGCTTAAAGCAGAAATGTCTCATTATTGTAACCC